TAATAATACTACAAGAACTTATATAGCACCATTTCCATGAGCTCAATGGCACTTTACAATAATTGCAATTCTAAAAAATAAAAACATTTCAGTTAATAAAGAAAATATCTAACAGTTGTAAAAATTAATTTCTAAAAAATAAGATACAATCAACTTGCTAAAATTAACTTAGGAAAACATATACAATAAGAAAAAAGAGTAGTCAACTAACTAATAAAAGCCTCTCTAAAAAGTACTGTTTTAATCATATTTTTAAAAACATCAAGGTTCTGGATTGATTTGATGTCATCGGTTAGATTGGTTACATTAAATCTAGGACATGGAATTCCTAAGGCCCTGAAAAACTTAGGACATAAAAAACTGGAGGCCTACTACCCTTAGAGCAATTCAATGTGGCCAACACACTAAAATGTAATCACTTGAAATATGCGAAAGAAAGAAAACAAAATCAAAATCTATTGTAATTTGATGGATGGGGTTGTGGAACAATGACTGAGCGAAAAAAAGTGCCCTATATGGCCAATTCCACCTTGGAGGACAACCCCAGGCCAGCAATGCCCCAAATTCTGAGGGCTCTTAGACGGGGCCAAATAAACATATAAAATTTGACTTGGTACCAAGTATCCAGGTCTCAAAGCCTGACTTTTTAATGCAAAGTCCAGTCTCTCTATGGGTCAGCCAGGCAGCCAACCAGACAGCTAGTCAGTTATTTGGTTGGTCAGCTGGCCAATCTAGCTCTGAGTGAGTGAGTGAGTGAGTGAGTGAGTCAGTCAGTCAGTCAGTCAGTCAGTCAGTCAGTCAGTCAGTCAGTCAGTCAGTCAGTCAGTCAGTCAGTCAGTCAGTCAGTCAGTCAGTCAGTCAGTCAGCCAGTTGGGAAATCAGTGTGTAAGTTAGTTTGTGAGTCAGCAAGTACGCCAGCCAGTCAGTGCATCTCTCAGTCAGCCAGTTAACTTGTCAGTGCATCTTGCAGTCAGCCAGTAAGCTAGTCAATGCATCTCACAGTCAGCCAGTTAGCCAGTCAGTGCATCTCTCAGTCAGCCAGTAAGCCAGTCAGTCAGCCAATCAAATTAAAGAAAATTCTCAAATCATTGTGTATCACTGCCAAAATTTGCCAAAGTATTAAAAAAAAACATTTTAAGGTTACTTTCAGCAAGGTAGGGTGTCTTTTGGAAATATTGTGCCATGTGCACTACTTTTGAGGGAACAATGGAAAACTGTATGTCACTGTAAAGCTTATAGGGTATCTATTATGAAAATAACAAAAGTTTTCACAGTTTTTGTTTAGGTAAGCATGTGCAAGCCTTTTAGCACAAAATTAATGGTGTTTACTTTATTAAATTACCAGCCTCTGTGTTTCCACAGACGTTCAAACAAACTGGACAGTATCACTTGGCAGATTATAGGCTAACAAACTGTGTGAGACTTTGGAAAATGCTTTGGTTGTTGTTATGCTACGCGATTTATCACAAAAGAAATATTTCACATTACATAAAAGCCTCACAAAATTCATAGTGTCAACATCTGATAAACATTCTGACCAATTATCAGGAAAATCCAACAAATCTAGATACCTTCTTAAGAAAAATTAGTTCCATAAATTTGACTTAAAAAAATCGAAGATTTTCAACAGTAAGAGTCTAACCATTACAGTAGACCTTCAAGGGTTTCTTCCAGGAAGTAGCACCTACATGTATATGCATTGCTTGTGTAATAAAATCTTAGCAAAGTACTATAAAGCAAAAAAACTTTGACATAATGAAGAATCTGACATAATACTATTTTACTGATTTTGTTCAGTGGTAAGTGCACTCAAGCCCTAAAAAGCAAAATTAACAATGTTTGAAATTTGATTGCATTCATGGCAAAATTAATTGTGTCAATAAGCAGACTACAAATTGAGTGAGTAGGGCTTTTTCCACTGTTGGTTACCAAGATAACTATATTTGCTTATGTTCATCACATAAGAAGGCATAAAAGAAGAAGTATTTAGAATATCAAAAGAGTCACTCTCCCTTTGGCATGTCAACATCTAGGTAACATTTTGGCCAAATTTTATAGAAATCTGTCAAATAAACAACCCTATTAATTGGCTTGAAAGTAAGGGAACACCTTCAAAAATAAACCCTGAGTTTTCTGCTATTTATGTTTTACAAGCTTTAATCATACTTTGTCAAAGAGGTTTTCAACATGGCAATGCTGCTAACTAATAAAATGAGAGCTTTGGATGCCCAAGTGCTCCGAACAAAATACAAAAATTTCGAAATTCTCTGGATATCTATTATAGCTGTCAAAGTCTGGATGCGAACACATTTATTTTTTTACCAAACTGTAGATATAAAAAAAATTATGTTTGCCCAGGTGAAAGAGCGAAAAAATTTTAAAAAGTTTGGCCTAAGTACAGGCCCTCTCTAAACAATGTGCCTGATCATACAGGACTTTAGAAAGAGTCCTAAGGCTGTAACCTTGAATAAAATTTATTGGAAATCAAACCGTTCGATTTCGTTTGATGAAAGCAAGGTATAAAACTCCAGTAAATCTCATATAAAAGTGATTAGAGTGGTGTTTAGCTCCAGACAGTGAATTTGGAAAGAAAGATTTCTTTTTTCAAATTGACAACAACAAAAAAATTATTTTTGATTAATTTTTGCTGAGATTTCATTATAAAAAAACTTTAAGTATCACTGTTAATTATTACTACCTCACCATCATAAAATCATCATAGATCATCATATATCATCATTATAAATCTTTAATTCGTGATGTAAGTATTAAACAACGCCAGAAACGTTTCCAAAGGGGATTCTATTCGACTCTTTTAAATCCATGATCAACACCACATAAAAATACCCTTCCATGTGCACTCATTTGTACGTTGTCCAATAATTAAACAAGTGAGACGCCAACAATAATAACATCGAGCGGCGATGAAGTGGCCGGGTACACTACAGGTACTATCACCAGTTACTCATACTGACTGAAAACCCTACAACTTAGAGAAAACAGTTAATCAATTGGACAAACCTACCTTATGTAGTTGTTGTTTGGCATTATTTGCATTCCGTTTCTTGTCCACATGTTCTTCTTTTGAACGTTTGGCAGCCACTTTATCCGGTGTTCCTTCGCATTAAACGTGCCATAAGTAATATCAAAGATGATACACTCATACGCGTACTTAGCCCTAGCTTGAAGATAAAACCAATAGTCAAAGTTGAAATTTCAAGACTTCGACCGCCATGTTACATTTTCTTTCGTTACCAGTTCTTTCGCGTCTTTCAGTTATGTTCTGTGGGACAGGGAAGGACTAGGTCCTACTGGAGCGTAAGCCCTCAGTATCAGGTCGTTTCGAACCAAAATGCGGTCGATTGCAACCAGGTTTGGATCGGTTCGTACCCAAGTTTGAGTCGGTTTGTACCCAAACTGCTAGTCAAATCATTCATTTATCCGAAATACCTCCCGCACGAGCGCGTGAACAGATATCAATCGTTGCGAAGGACAAGTTGGTGAAGTCAACCGAGTAAGATAAAAACAAAGTTCTCCTGTCAGTATATTTGAGACCTTCTTAACAAAAACAATTTAAGTATTGCCCTGCGGAAGTGTAGCATTTTAAGGTTAGGGTTTGTCTATTGTTTATACTACTGACTTTTTTGTTAGACAGCTCTTGTAGATGCGATGTCTTTTCTCCAATTGTTAACATGGAAAACTAAGTTTATTACTTTGGAAACGACCGAGCAAGGTACGCAACGACTCAACTGACTGGGTACGAAACGATCAGTGACCAAATAAGACAAATAAAAAATCGGACACTAGTGTCCATAATCAAAAATCATACTCTAGAGACCAAAATGATAAATTGGACACTAGTGTTGACAAACAAAATTTTGACACTATTGAGTGAAAAAAGATCTTCAAAATAAAAATATTCTGTCATTCTACCTTTCCAAAGATTTCACCGTTCCATCACTTTTCAAATAGGGTCAAACTAGGTATCGTACTTTGCAGTTATTTAGCAGCTCTTTTGAGCATGTCTCTAATGAAATGATAAAATGCTCTCTTCAAGGACAAAAATTTTCTTAAAGTTTCCATGATGTTCAGGTCATACCTACTTACTGATTAATATTTGGGCAGCTGTGTCATTCCCTCCTGGCTGCTATCTATATTTGAGACTTTGGAAAATTTCTTTAATTAACCTATGAGGATGTTTTCCCTTGAATAAGGTAAACATGAGCACTTGTTAGGGGGGGTGGGGAGGTTCTACATCAGTAAGTACAGGTTTAAGTTTGCCACTGCAGACTGGCTACCCAAAATCAAATTTACTTCATGGCTGCTGCTGCATCATTATGTATTGTTCTAGGCCAAAACAGTTTATTCTCATAACGCCTCTCTCCTACCACAAACTCACAAAGGTGAATGCAAACAGGTCAGAAAACTTGATGAATTGCCGGGAGGTCACCTGCTATAGACAAGCATTCCCTCCAGAGAGAGCAATAGTACCACTGGTTGATTCATGTCTCTGAATTTCACTGGAATAAGCTTTGGTAAATGGTTCAGTAAGCTCAAAAGAATTACAGTCAAATCCATGAATGGGCCCCAGTATGTAATAGCAGTATCGGAAAGTCTAGATTTTCACATGGATACTGTTTTTTGTTTCTGATCATGATGAGTTTATGAAATAATTAAGAGTATCCACTTTGCTGCTTTTAAACGTAAAGGATCACTATTGTTGTCATTTCAAGTAGGTGTTACATTGCAGGAAGAAGGAGATCAAATCCAGTCATATTTTGAGAAAATTTAAACCATAGTCTCTTTTCAATAAAATGCCAGAAACCCTCAGCAAATGAGAGCCTTAACCTAACTTTGAAATAAGTTTCCCACATCATACAAGTAATTCAAGGATCTATTTATCTCAGACTATCTGCTAACAATCTACATCTGTCTTCACCCTTCTTTAACTCAAACAAAACAAATGCAAGTCTGACACATTGTAAGAAACTTTATTACAATCAGAACTGGATCATTTGACCCTAGAAGAAATACAAAAGAAAAATGTTAGGAGATATACATGATACATCATTAATCATGGCCCTTTTTCTGCACCATCAATGTTTCAGGGGAAAAAAAAAAGGAGGAAAGAGAGGTGGTAAGAGGGGATTAGTCTTGGTCAGAATGGAATGTGTTTACTTCAGTCAACCAAGACTCTCAAAACCTACAGGCCACCAGTAAACAAGTTAAAATACAGTATGATGTCAAACAGGTATATAGCTAGATCCCAACAGCATGGAATTATCTTTCTGTTAACACTAATCTGCTGAAGAAAAATTTACAACTTAGATATAATTTTGATGACCACCAGGGAGAATGCTGCATACAACAAATTGCTCCAAAATAACCCACCAAGTGTAAAGTCACTTGAGTGATCGTGGGCCGTTAACCCTTACAAATGAATACAGACTGCTTTTACCTTTCTCTTCTTGTCTCCACCCAGCTCAAAGTGTTTGCATCTTTTCAGGGCAATTTGTTTCCTGTACTTGCAATCTGTGCACTCCATACGGAGAACAATTTTCTTTGTTGTTTTGGCCTTGAAAATTAGAGAAATAATTTCAAATTATAACCTGTAATAATCTTATATGAAGTTGTGGTTATCCTGGGTTAAATTTGGTAGTAATCACAAAGGAGCATACAGTGGTGGGGGGGTGGGTGGGTTTCCCTATTAAAAGATTGTCAATGTTCTACTGGAAGCCTAATCGCCTTCAAATTTAAGTCAAAGGAAAGGTTAGAAAATGTACTACATCTAATCATAAATTAACTAAGACCTGACAAATGGGAATAGACAATGTTTCAATGAGCTTATTAATAAGGTAACAAATTCAATAATATGGAGTTAATCTTCAAAACTAAAAGACTTTTCTCCTTTTTATCTTTCCCCATTTACAGTCTAGTTTTATACGCAGAGAATATAGCCAAGATTACTGAATGTAACTGATATTTATGCTGCCAAAAATATATCAAGAGTCATTTATCTTGAAACATTAAAATTGGCTAATCACACATTTTGAAAATAACTACATGCGAAGATAGTTATATTTAGTTTGACTTGACTTGAGAAAAAAACATTTAAAACAAATTGGCCCTTGAAGGTCTACCATATCCTTAAATGTAGCTGTTACAGAAAAAATAATCACAACAAAGCATAATGCTTCAAGGGGTGATATGTAACCTGTCGTGGTCTCAGCCTAAAGGAGGCTTGTGATATGCAATCAAAACATTGCAGTCCGCACTTAAAGTGAACCATTGAGACAGAAACAAAAACGCCTAATGATAATGACACATAATTATATAAAATATTTATTTCACTGGTATACAGAGGTGCACAAAACTAACAATTTCCTTGAAATTAGGACAAAATTTTCGTTCCATACATATTTCATATCAAAACAAAACTTCCATCGATAGAGACCGTAACATTCCACCAGAAATTGAGAGTATTTCAACTAAACAGTTTAAAACTATATCCATTCACTGAAAGATCTAATCAGAGTAAGAGTGCATAATGTACCATTGGATCGAAATTTCGACCTAAGGCACACAAGTAAAGCGGGCAGTGGGGTAATAATTGAACATACGATCGTACGGACATGAAATGTCTCTTTTTCTAACCTTTTTGTGGAAAATGGGTTTCGTTTGACCACCATAGCCTGACTGTTTACGATCGTAACGGCGTTTTCCTGAAAGAAACGGCAAAAATACTCAAGAACTGTTCGAACGTTCCCCAAAACTAAGATCGATCACTTTTAAAGACCTTTCGACAAAGCACGAAGAGTAATTCTTTATCAAGATATTTACAGAGACGATGCCACTATCAATAGTTAGTATCAGTTCATCCATAAGTCTTACCCTGAGCGTAAAGACTATCTTTTCCCTTTTTGTACTGGGTCACTTTGTGCAAAGTGTGTCTTCGACAGTTCTTGCCCTTGCAATAAGTGCGGCGCTGTTTTGGAACATTAACCTGAATGCAACGAGAAAATAATGACAGTTTTAATAAAAAAAAATGGAATAAAGAATCCATCTACTCGTCTTAAAGTTTAAAAGACGAAAGATGGCAAGGGATTCAACAGGATTCAAGTACCAAAATAATTTTCCTACCATTTTGCTCGCACGATCGAAAGAGAGAGGAAATACTAGGGTCCAGTTCTCGACATTGCAACGACAGACGCAACATTCCAAAGCGAGGCTACAGAGCCCAGTTCACTCACACTGCTGTGAAAGATGGAGTTAGGATCATGAGCAAATATAGATTAGGATATCAAAGACTGGTATGGTATGATAAAGAATACAAAAATGTTTTAGGCGAGGAATAAAAAATCGGACCAAGAAGAAACAATGGACCACGTTGCGACAATTCTCGTTTATGGAACTGGAGAATCAAACTCATGCTCATGAGAATCTTCGGAAATTGAAACACATGGGCCTAATGCTGATTGAAATTCGGAAATATATTAGTACCAAATGGACAACAAACAAGAGAGGAAAGTCGATATTTAGGGTATGGGGGGAAGAAATTTTTGATTCTGGTTCAAATCCTCGTGTTCTTCCCTTCTAAGTCTGTCTATGACTTGTCTGGAGGTGGAGACAGTCTCTCATTTATCCTTAAGGGGATTCGTCAGGAGCCCATTACTTAAGTAATGGGCTCCTTGATTCGTAAACAGGATATCCAATTCACTCATCCGGCTTCTTGAAAAGGGTCTTCATCAGTATATTGGATGAACGCTTAAGATGCACGGTCTACACATCTAACGGAAAACATTCTATCTGAAAACACTACACGAAGCAGGATGTGATAGATGTATAACAATAGGTAATTTTTTTTTTTCGTGAGCACGGTAATGGTATGACCGGATTTTGTCCTAAACAGGATCAGGGTGTGAAGCGTAGTGAAAATATCAGTACCCTAGAGATCCATTAGGATCACTGGCACTTTACGTGTACCTTCGCCAATGTCATCTACTGCATAACTTGCACTTATGGTAATGAGTTATACATTGGTGAAACAGGAAGACGACTTGGTAACCGATTTCGAGAACACCTTTGCGACGTAGAAATAAATGACGAGGACGCATCCAAACCAGTCGTTAGACACTTTCATCTCCCTAATCATTCTAAACAAGATATGGCAGTTTGCGGCCTTTCCTTACATCTAGGTAGTTCGGAAAGCCGCAAAACACAAGAACAAAAATTTATCTTCCAAATCGGTATTCTGAATTCCCACGGTATTAACGAGCGCTTTCATTCAACTAATTCTTCTTGTTTTCTCGTCACCATACTCCCCCAATAGCGTAGCTCCACCTTCTGCATATAAACCTACACACAACCCACAATTCCTCCAATCGCTCTGACGAAGGGCTAATGCTCGAAACATTAGCTTTTTTACCCTTTACAGTGGCCAATTTACGTTTTCAACTCAGTTGTTAACACTAAATTATCAGGGTATGAAGGCCTGGGTAGTAAACATCACCTGAGTCTGGGTTGCAAATGTCACGGGAGCTCCTGTGTATCCTCCTTTGCCCCCCCCCCCTCCCACCCGTCACCCTAACGACACTCACACAGGGTCCTATCTACCGCTTTATTTACGTACAATTAAATTAAGTGTTGTGCAAACGACCTCCTACGAAAACCTACAATAACTCATTCTGTGAGGAATGGAAAGTACGTCTCAGTTTATTTGGTCCTGTGACTACAGAAAGGTGTACACTGCATTACTCGGGAGGAATTCTTCATTAGTTTTTTTATTTTCTGTCTATCACTGGAAAAAGAAAAGTACGGCTTGAATGTTCGTTTGAAGCTTTTGTAGTCATTGACTGATATTTTCATTCGGTTCCGTCAAGCTGACGTTACTTCAGGCCAAATTTAAGCCAAACTGTCTGTAGACGAATCCCTTTTTTTAATTTAATTTAATTTTTCATCCCACAAAAGGGATGAAATGATAGACGCCTAAAAGCAGAACGATTTAAGCTACTTCTGACTAAAAATTACTAAAAGTTCGAATATATCAAACAGAAAAAAGACCAGAGTTACTTCAGTAAACATTCAAACAAACACCTGATGTCCTAAGCTATTATTATCGATAGAAGACTGACATTTGTGCCACATTTGCGCCAGCAACTTTGAACAGAACAGCTGTATTATAAAACCCAGTTTCCTTGTGAAAAGGTTACCGCTTGGGGATGACTACAATAAATTAAACCAGCGCACAAACAAACAAACTAAAAAAGTAAGCGGCAGGTGTGAACTTTTCAAGGTTCCTCCAAGCTACTTTTAAGAAAAAGAAATTCCATATAATATATTGAAACTATACTCCAATATATCTCACGTAAACGTCATCACATGTGAACTTCTACGAATCACTATTCAGGGTTTCAGCAACGATATTTGTAATATTAAGCCATTTCTCATTTTTAATGAATTTCACTGGGATCCCGCGCTCGCATCTGTCGCGCCGCAATATTCAAACATAAGAATTAAGATACGTCATAGATTACAACTTCTTGGGCTGTTGAGTGAGTGGAAGATTTCTTTGATGTAAGAGTCAAATATTAGTCAGCATCTCCAATGTTGGTTCCTCCTAACCTAAGGAAGTCTTTTTTACAAATTTCTACTCTGACGTGTTTCCGGTCTGTGAACTCTAGAGGTTTCAGTCGCGGATGGCCGTACACAGACGAGGACCGCGCAGGTACTGGCACCCTGATCTCCTAATAAGGTGATAAACAACAAAAATAAGATTCACTCAAGAAGGAAATCCCCATACGTATGTGTTCTTGTCACTGAGACGTTCCCACTGAGCTGAATATGCATAGAGACTGACTTTTCCCAACTAAAGTGAGAGTTACTTGCAAAAAAAAAAACAAAAAAACAGAAAAAAAAAAAAGGGTAATACACTTGAGTTGAAAAAAAACGAATTCCATTTTGCAATTTTTTGTACCAGTATTTCCTCGAATAACCGCTAACTCTCTAATTAGCGCCCTCCCCCGGGTGAGCGCCCTTCTCGAGTAAGCGCCTCCCGCTGCCTCACTTCCCTAAGTACCGGTATATCAAAATCATACTCCAATTCTCAGAGCAGATCCAATTTCCGAGCAAATCAAACCCTCGCTCTCAATTCTTCATAATGTATTCAACATTGTTTAGTCTATAATGGACTCATCAAGAGAAGTACTCTGACAAATTTATATTTCGAACAGGGGGCCTCTACAAACGAATTAGAGATAAGAAATAAACACAAAAATAAAACAAAACAAAAAAGACTAAAACTTACCTCTCTATTGACAGTAAGTCCTCGTGACTTTGCGTGTTCTCTGTCGTCACGGTGGAGTTTTTGATCGTATCCCTCAACAACATGATTTATTCGATCGTATGTAGAAGGTCTTTGATGCTACAAGAAAAAACAAGATAACGATAAGTAAATCCATACATGAAAAGGTAAAGCCGAGCTCTGATTGAAATTAGGTGAGAAAAACTTACACCTTTACCGTAAGAATATTTTCTGTTTCTCAAATTTAGGGTAGATGAGAAATCAGGTACTCAGAAAAAGAGAAAACGCAAAGAAAAATGCAAATTCATCATTTCGTCACCAACATACCCTGCAAACTGGAGACAGATCTGACGGCAAACTTCTGGTAACAGAAACCATTTAATCTAACAAAAATTCGTGCTGTCAGGCTACGCTAATGTACCGTTCTCACAACAGCAGATAACGGTAAATTATTTCTGTCAATAACATGAACTTAATAAGAGAACATTTCACACTTCATACGCACGAATCTTCAAAAAAGGGGGAACTGGCGAGGCAAAAGTAACATCAAACATACCAATGTCTTGGCAAGGAAATAGCTGGTATCTTGTGCAAGATCTAAAGATTTTGGTCTCTCGACTTTCCACGAGTCTGTTACACCTTCTCCGCCTGTAGTGACAACATGGTTCTTCCTGATTGCATCTTCGCGCTAAAATCAATAAAAAGTGGAAAAGGTTAGCTTCTTCGCCCAAACCACAACCAACAACAAAATAACACATTGCAGTCTGTTTCCTCACGCAGGTGTGTTGTACCTTACAACATTGTGTCCACTGGCCCACAGTTTCTTGAGGATTGTAAAGTTTAAGACCGTATGAAGACATTTTGTATCCGCTACCGGGGTAATCGCCCATTTTACGTGAATTTCGAGTAAGAAAAGGAACGAGCTGCGATCAGGCTTCGATTTACTTTGGTTCGATTGTTTGTAAAAATGCAACAAACGATTCGTTTTCTGTCAATGAAGAATGTAAGACGGTTGCTTGGCAACGGGCTTTGTGTTGTAAAGTATATCACCTGCAGGATTAATCAGATTATTGAACAAAAACAACTCAAGCGCGATGAGACCCCATTTATTGAAAGCGATCCCTTTTTCATGGTAATTAGGATGTAATTAACACTTCATTACATAGACTCGTTATTGTCCTAAGCTTTTTATTTCAACAGACGTGCGATTCAGGACAGTATTTATTCTTATTTCTATTTAAATGTAAATATGTTACAAAAAAGACTTAACTTGCCTATAAGACACTGTTGCAGGGAAATTAGAAGTTTTCCAGGAAATCAAGGTGTAGAAGGATGTGAAACATAATCAGTGAGCAAGTCTCTGTAATTATCACACCATTGTTGCCATAGTAATTGTAAATCTAAAACTTATCTGAACACCACTGGTTCATTTAGAGACAAATCTCACTTATGGTTTGTTTATGTTTACTCTTGTCTTATTCAAAGTGTACATAGCAGTTAAATTATGTCAAAAAATGAACTACTGAGAAAAAAAAAAGAATTCCAAGAAACAATACAGAGTATAAAAATATTCCTCAAGCCTGAGTGGGGCAACACTGCAATAGATCCAAGGGTCAATGTTTTTAATTTAGTGTGGATTTCCTATCATTATCATAGATGTAATCAAGGTTTGTAAAAAAAAACCTTAAATAAGCCTTTTAAACTACCTGGCATCACATCTGATATATATGCTGATGTGTATGATGCAATTCAGTAAACAACATAACTGAGAGACTTTTCAAAGACCATCCACAAAATAGTTTAAACAGATCTATAGTGCATGGTGTTCTAGAAAATATCCATAACCTTCCTAATGCTCTCTTGGTCAATGTGATTAGGTCCTTTATTTCCTTTTGAGGGGTTAGTGCAAATAATGGGGCCAGAAAGCGGATAGGTATGTTGCTATAAAGCATCGATACTGAATTCCTGTCAATTTCCTTGAGTATCATTGAAGTAGAATCTGACTTAATTCCACTTGGAATGTTGTATAATGTCATTTCTGTGACTATGAATAGCAAATTTTAGCAATTTAAAGGGTTGGCAACAAACTTTAATCTGGACACTCATGGATATTTGACATGTCATCATGTTTACAGGGCCAGCCCTGGTTTATGTAATTTTCCCTGAAAAAGATTCCCTCCCTCTTCATAAATTTTTGAGGAAGATTTAAGTTAACAAGACCCTTAATGCTCATGCGATGAAAGAGTGAAGAATTCAAACTGAATTTGGTTCATCCTTCTGAAAATTATGCTGGTATGATACAATAGGCTCAAAGTTGGCACATGTTATGTAAATATTTTTGAACCTATGACCAATCTCTGCAGGCAAGATGTTCAAGCTAATCCTGTGCTTTGATTCAAAATTCAAGGGACCATTTTCCTCATTCTGTATTGTATCCTTAGTTTTAGTTGCATAAATTATATAAAGCTAGCTGACATACTTCAGAACCACTGCCATATTTTAAACAAAAAAAAACATTCCTGTTTCCCTATTCTGCAAAGCATTAAAGGAGCAAACACAGCTGAAACCATATGAATAATAATTTGATAATAATAATTTTTGACTAGTATCCAGGAGGAACTGGTTCAAATGCCTTAAAAGCCTGACTTGTCTTCAGGCTTCTTTTCTGCAATCTGTTTGATTGCTGCTCACGTATAAGGATCACTTCTTAACTTACATATCATAAATTACAAATCATCTGCAGGCAAAAGTATGATTCTATTTACTTGTGAAAACCACGATATTTTTGTTATCATGCTATTTCGCACTTGTTTGGTGTAATCTAAAGAGAAAAGGTGTTTGGTCAAGATGGTTAGATATTGGCTTTGTTCTGAGAGTTTGATCACATCCTTGATAAGGAATTGATATCTATGACTGAAATACCTTTAAACATTGGTTCGAACGTTGGATCTTGGATTTGAGAAAATGAAGGGGACTCGATCGCAAAAGGGGAGCTCGCACAGGTACTGAGATCGGAACCAGACGTTTCAGGGCACAGATGCAAACACATTCTTACAGTCAAACTACTAAGGACCTCTCAACACGTCTCAGAAATTCTGAATTTCATAAATAGTGGTATAGAAGTTTCACTTTGCCATCGTAAAACATATGATCTATTCAAAAGAATTCACGTTAATTGAAGGAGGGACGGAACCAAAAACTCCCAGGTTGATAGATTCAGAGGTTGACTTATAAAAGACAAAAAAAAGGACTAACCTGATATCTTTTTAGTTGGAATTGGTTGTAGGCCTGTCAATAATAAATAAATCGCAATATAGTTATATTTCGTGAAAGCGCGACAGAATTCGTTCTCTTACGTTTTAGAAGTCAATTATATTTCTTTCGATAACAGATATGGCAACAAAATAAAACTTCAGATGAAATAGGCCAACCTTTGATAGAATACCAGGAGGTTTAAGCATATCTAAGGCTTCTTTCACCGATTTCTCACTAGGATAACGTGAGGACGGCGATTCCCTTGTGGTGGCCGCCATGTTGTTCGATAACTGAAAAATCCTTTCGTGTATACTGGGCGTAACCATAGCAATAGAACCTTTGTTCCCATCTATTGTTCTCGGGATTTTTTCCTTCTTAGCACAATAAAGAGAGACTTGGAGTGTTAATTATGACTTGTCTCTTCAAAACACTGAAAGAAAAAGATTCGAGTTCATGGACCACACTAGTCAAAGAACCCGCTGGAAACAAATAGGGATTCCTGAATAAAAGAATACTCTATCCACGTTGTCATTGGTAACTTCCCTTTTAACTTACGATTATTTGTTAAAAATTATCTAATTCTGGAACTAGTCTCGAAGAAATTATTACAAACATTAATAAGTGTAAACAGTTCTTAATTCTTCTAAGAAGACATGAATCACGGAGAGGAGAGTGGTAACGAATGGCTGTCTTTGCTGAGCGGTAGACTGGAACCGGAAAGCGCGAAATTTAGTTATGGCGGCATCAGGAGACGATTTAGAGGATGAAGAATACGAAGCCCTGGCTTATCAACAGGTCGGATTTTTCCGATGTAGTCACTTTTCAATAGTTTTATATTTATTCTGATCGTAAAATTTATTTCACAGCGTTTAAAAGCTGCCCTGCACTACACCGTAGGCCGTATTTGTGAAAAAGCAGGTACGTTTCATTTCGATCGATCGAGCGAGCAGGGTCGCAATAATTCATCGTGCACTCTGGAGTGCGCGATGAATTATTGCGACCCTGTTCGCTCGATGACGATATTTGATCTGATGTTGCTTGTGAAAATCCATCCTTTATTCGATATTTGAGTTTTTTTTCCACCACAGTATCACATATTTGATCAGCCAGTGTATTAATTTGCCAGTTCTACCTGTGTTTAGAACAAATTTGTAAGTCTGTTCTTGTGTGCAGCCGTATGTTACATTTTTGACTCTGATGTAGGTGAGGAGTCAGGGTTACAATATTCCAGAAGATTCATTGCTGCCCTAACAGAGACGACTTTCAAGCAATGTGGTACGCCTATTGAATATAGTAGATGTGCAACATCAAGGGTTGTAGCTAAAGGGGTTAAGGAGTGTATGCGAACCCCCCAAGAAATAATTGGCAAAAAAGAAATTCCGACTCGGTATACTTCTCCTTTCTCATGAGGGACTACTTATTATTTAGTACCTGGAAGGGTGTAGGGTTTTAAGGGGGGATCATATGGTTTTCATGGGGAAACGAAAGGAATCAGTCGTCCCCAACAGAGTACGAAGAATATTGACTACTGCTAATGAATGGGGATCATAAGAATATTACAACGCATGATAGGTTAATCAGGTAATTTTTGTTGTGACATAACCAAAATCCTCCAACACCCTCCCCTAAATAATGATAAATTCGGGGATAAATAATGACTGGTCCACAAGTTGCTCTTATAGCCCCTTCCCTTCTTCTCCTCCCCCCATCCCCCGGCTCCCACCACCACAGGCAGATGAAAAAGAAAAATACCCATTAACTAGGCGTTCTGTATTTTGAACAATTGCTCATTACTATGTAGCTTATTGAAGGAAAATATTTTCATTTCAGAATCTTTTGCAACAGATCTTGAACTATTTGCAAAGTAAGTTGGTTGTCATTCTTTCATTTTTTCTGGTATGATTCTTGGTTGGTTCAAATAAGCACTAATCTACTGATACAGAGTTACCCACCTCAGGGGAAATCTGGAAGTGGAAATTTCAACTTTTTCATCCCCAGTTACTAAATTTCACCAATCAATATACCCCTCTAAAAATACTTTTGATTGCATTGACCACACCCTTTCATGAGACATAAATGGTTATACGATTGGGGTGTTGCATGTAAGTAAACAGTTACAGCATCAAGAAGAAGGGCTATTTTGTTTCTTCAAGGAAAAATGTACAAGATGCAAGAAAATCAGGTAAGCAGAAAAGGCCAAATGATTTTGGGTCATGTGATAATTTATGTATTTTTAAGGAACTGTTATGTTCCTAAGTATAAACTTTTATCTAGGGGATTTGCTGACTGGTAATTATAAGACAGAATGAATTGCTCTTTGTTATGGAGAGTTGGTATATATGCTGATAACCATACTTGATCAATGAAACAATCTATATTTTGCTTTTAGACATGGAAAAAGAAGCCAAATAAACTCTGATGACGTGCAGCTGCTTGCCAGAAAAAGTTCTACTTTGGTATGTACAAGATCACAGTTTGAGTAGCCAATCAGAGCCCACCTTCAAATTTATCCTCTGTTGTAGTATACTAAATACTCATTTAAAATATTCAAATACAGATAAGAAAGTACTGGTCTATTACACTTGTGGGAGTTTAAGGATTAACCTTTCATTGTAATTATTTTTTCCCTTACTCAATTCACATGTTCCAGGCTGCACATATGGAAGGGATGAGCAAAGAACTGGCAGAAGCACATGAAGCTAATAAGGCTTATAAGAAAACTAGAAAAGTAAAGAAGACTAAACCAGCCCAGGAGTGCAATGAAGCTCTTGAAATTGAAGATAATCAATGATATAGTATGGGAATATCTTTGAAGAAGACTTTGGAGTCATGCTGTAAAGAATTTGAACAGCTGCTTATAAATATACTAAATGAAGACTTTGAACAAAGAGCCAAGAGAGTTTTAAATGACTGTTGCTTGAGGGGACACTATAAATAACACAAAACTCTGTGAGAATGGAAAGTACATTATTTAACTCCCTGTTAAAAGGAAAAACCATCCTTACCACTTTGAATCACTAAAAGTTTTGTTGTGGGATATGATGTTGCTGATTGTCATAAGTATTTAAGAGACACTTTATGACACATCTAATGAGGTTTACACTCTAGAAAATGTGTATCATTGTTATCATTTTTAGTATTCATGTGTCAATAAAATGTCAACAGTGATGTGTGGAAGGGCAGTCATTGTATCTGAACAATACACCCTTATCATGGGAAGTGTTACAAAATATCCACTGAAGAACTTGTTTAAGTCGCGTGTTGAGGAATTGCACATGAACGGAAGAGTAAAATCTTTTAATTATTTAACATTTTACCAAATATTCAAACATAATTGACAGTGTAGCACTGGGTGTGAAAGTTAATATTTACAAAACATTATGTCACGTTCTTCCTGTGCCGTTTATGAATAAGATTCAACTTGAAAAGCAGTTTGTTTAAATTATAATTCACGCATGAACTGGCATTCAAACACACGAAAGAGACGTTGCCAACCTGAGAAAAACAAACAACGTACAAAAATATGGAACTATTTACACTCGCAATCGTCGCAATGTCGTTTGGATCGTATGACCCACTAACTTATAGCTTATCATACAAACGTCACTTTTTAAAAAGTTAAAGGCGAAGAAACACGATATGTAATTTGACTAAACCGTTAACAAAAATGAAACGGAAGCAAATAGCTAAAAATCTGGAATTTTTCGAAAACCAGGCGAGAAAAACGTTCTTTTTTATGACACTCACGGCTTGTTCGACTCTACGTAAAGAAGTTTAATAGTTCAAAGCGCACATGAGTGCCACACCCCTTTTGATCCAGTGGCGCTGCAGCTGACTGCTTGGCAATTCAATTGGAAGAACAAAATTTGTGGAATGGCCTGTTGTGGATAGTGTACCTTTAAAATCAAGAAAAGATTGATCAAAATTAGTACATAACTTACTTGTCATTATTCTGAAGCGGAGAATTTGTCAAAGGAGCTAGGTCATTGGCCACGGCATGGTGTTGTAACGTCATTGAAGTTGGTGATTGTTTCACTGAAACAGAGAGACCACTGCTCTCAAAAATTAGAGATCGCTGCTCTTCGTTTACGTATGAACGATAAATTTCACGTACCAGCTCTGGTCAACGTTTTGTACACTGGGCAGTCATAGATACCCTTGCTCGGCTTCTCTCGGTTCGCCGTTGGTTTCAACCAAATGATCGGCATGTCGGTGTACAACTCCTTAGGTCGGGATTCGGTCAATTCGTGTTTGTCGTAGTCCCATCGAGCACCTTCGAGGAAGAGACCCCGAATGAAGCATCCGTCATTGGGGCGAGAGGTTAACTCTGCTTCGGTTTTCTTCATAACCTAGAGAGAGATGAAATGTCAGCCTAGTGAAAAATTGGTTCTTAATACGAAAAAGAAGTCATGGCTTTTTTGGAGAGTAGCATCTTGATAAACAGGCCTACCTCAAAGTCGAACGTGATCACATCAATTGAGATCGAAGAAGATCTCGCAAAGTTCTGCAAAGTTCCGGTTAAAAATCCTTGAGGGAAGAAGAAACCTGATATCCAAAAAACCTGCCAAGAAAACAGAGCTATTAGCAAAGGTAACGCAATGTCACTAAAATTTCTGCATAGAGTAATTAAAACTTACTGGAGGTATTCCATGTTCAATCCACTTATCAATGAATTGAACTCGAGCCACCAAATCAGTTACCCAGGACGCCAGCGGTTTTAATGACGGATAGGCCTGGAAACGAACGGAGAGTAAGCTAGATTAAACACAAGGAACTCACACAACTGATAATTACACATCCTTTCATTATAACTTTCTGACAGGAAGTGAGTGTAAAAGATAAAAAGATACGGACGTTAAACAGAACAAAGCTCTAATTTCACTCCATACAAACTTCTAACTCAACAAAAGATTTATCAAACCTATGAAGATACCAATTTTTTTGCATACCTTACTGGCCCATAATTCCGGTACGGAGTTAATATAGATACTGTTTGCCATTGTCTCCAGAGCCTGTGACATCACCACCAGACCCTTGAGTGCTTTAAGCAGATCGTTTAATGTCTGTCTGACGGTCTCTAACAGTTTGTTGTAACGAATCACTTCTTGGATTAAAACCGTGTTCATCGACTCCTCGTACCGCACAGGGTGTTTTTCCATCACCATGGAAACCGAAATAGGTTGAGGTACCTTCTCTAGAATACTGCGGCCAGCCTCTTCCATCACCTAAACATAAAAAACGTGATAAATTTCAATCCAGCTGGATGTCTTAAGAGACAAGCAAACTGATTCCGTAGTTTGTAATTTTTTTTGTAATACCATGTATGCAGGTACAGCATATACCTCCAACTATACAATTGTTTTCAATTTTTAGAAGAAGAAGTAGAAGAAGATGCTTTTATTTGGTTAGGGTAACTCCTACAGTTACAAAAACTGATATCCTTAGAGGCCCTAAGAGAGCTAGATGAAAACTTGTAAAATGACCAATTTAAGGCTGTCTCTGAGCACTTAATATTCAGTGGTTTTCATTTTCGACCGCCACAGAGGTTGGGAGAAGATCCTATTACACACAAACCTCTTCACGCGACCTTCCCGCCCCAGATGACGCACGTGGCTGCATCTTGAGTATTCCTTGAAGTAAACTGAACGTCTCGTTCTGAGCAAAAGTGATGTTGGCGTTGTCATGAAGAGCAAATATCTCTGGAGTATCGTTGATTGGTAAACCACGAATGTATCGAAGATAATGCTGACAAGAAATGAAGCGTAGTAACAAGTAGAAGAGTGAGTCCACCGTGTCTTTCCAAAAATATTTCATAACGTACAAAAAAAATGGATGAGACTGATGTCATATATCTCTATCAGATTAATAAATTTAATAGAGTATCGATGTAATTCGCTTGAACTTTTCTCTCACACCAGTAGGAGTTGCCTCATTCAACTTGACAGCGATAAAACAAACCAGGGATATACGTAAAAGAGGAAACCAAAACGTTACATAAATTACTCTGTAATCGGTGCCCTGGCGGATTTAAAGTGAGTCATTTGTTCCTTAAACAACCTTGGGACTTTTAATATCCTCTATAACTGCTTCCACCCACTCCCTATGCTACACCATCATTTAGTCACCATCAGAGTCAAGTGAAAAGTCTTTCATTTGTCAAATGGATGCTCTCACTCTGGTTCGTAAGTAAAGTTGGGTCATTCTGTTCGGTCCGTTTGGAAAGATTTTAAAAGTTGTATATAGCATAAATTAAACTTGGCCACATCACTGAAAATACCTCGTGATCAGATGTTAGAGGAAGCTGGTGATAAATTCCAGAATCGGAGAACTTGTGCTCACTGCTGAGCACGTCAGGTGAGTAGAAATCATTTAAGATGTTCATTATACACCGGCGATCCCAGTCATCGGTAACACGACCGCCATAATTGATGTGTCCAGCAGTATATTTTAGGACCTGAAAAAAGTCACGACAAAAGCAAATGAAACAAATACTTGAGATATTTATAGGTAATAACATGATTTTGAGTGCAATTTGATGTAATATGCTGGAGTAAATTTTCAAAGACAACAAAATTGTAGTCTGAAAAATTGACAAGTGCTCATTTACACCAAATTGCACGAGAAATCATGTCACTTGATAATTATTTAAATGAAAAAGCACCGCAGAAAGTACAGACAAACGAAATTTTGGTAGCGCGCGCGCTATTTGTAATTTGCATTCGTGTTACAACTTAGCACTCGTGTTACATGAAAAATGCATTCGTTTTCAGCCAATGAGACGCGCTTAATTTTTTTGTGTATATCATTAAGGCGTAGACAGTCAGTAAAAAAAACACAGGCGCCTAGAATGAATTAGGGGTCCGCTGGAAACTAACGCCTATATTTCTAATGTACTTTTAAACATAAATGCAGTTTAAGAGATGTATCACATCTATATCCGATTTGCATTGCACAGTGGCACACTACAAAAAGTCCTTCCAAAATGACGGTTTTAAGCTCATTTTACGGTTCCGGGTGTAAGGTGCATGATTGTAAACATAACTTTTGAAACTAGACCTGGATCGTTTTTAATTCACTGAATGAGTCTAATCGAAGAGACACTTCCGACATCAAAAGAACTTGATATACCACATCAGTATCGTTTGACTGATTTAAAGATGTTGGAGATGGCTAATGAATTATTTACGTTAAGGAATAAGTGAAATGATTTACCTTGAAAGGTATTTCCTCTTCGTACTCCTCTAAGAACATGCTCAGCTGACTTATACAAATCCTTAAGTCTCCAGTGGTAAACTCGTACGGGATGTTAAAACCCAGAGCACCAAATTTCCTTCTCTCCAAGGTGACCCCATGGAAAAGACACAGCGAGAAAAGAAGGAACTTGAATTCTTCCTGAATATGGATCAAGGGAAAAAAAGTTTCAATTGTGTTAGAGGGTATTAGTTTAGCAAATGAAGTTACAGTAATGAGTACGTTTTTTCAATCTAACCCTCTTGCAACTTGCATAGAACTCGTCACTAAATCCCATGAAAGATCTCAATAAGTTGGCTTTAATCCCCCGCGGAGGTTCCACGGTCATTTTTGAACCATTCTGTAGAATAGAGACTGGAAACTTGGGACTTGGCATGCTGGTTAACCACAGGCGGAAGTCACGGTGCACCTGTTCGGAGACATACGAAATAATACTAGTCTCAGTAAACTGGGGAGCGACAGAACTTTCTGATGTTAGTTCAGAAAATCTTAATAGCTGCTAACCTTGTCTGGATCGATATTCTCCACGAGTCTTTCAAGACTGGGCATAAAGCTTGGGGCTAAATGACAGTTCTGGAAAAATACCCACTTTCCGCGCTCCATGGCCGAGCGCATCATAGCTTCTGCGCGAGGACCCTGTGGAGAAAAAGAGAAGTGCAAGTCTGAGTATAAAAAAGCTACTCATTATAATGTAATTGCCATTCTAAATAGTGACTTTGTATATTTTTTTCGGTTTTGCCAATATCCGAGCAGGTGGTAACATGTAACCAGTAGACAGTTCATCTTCTTATCAGATGCACAAATTTCAACTTATCGAGGCGACTTTAAGTCACAAAAGCGTGTAAAACAATCTTTCTGCACTGGAAATTGCATAGGTGACTAAATGTTTTACCCCTTTCAATATATGACTTAAAACGTAACTTCGTGCAAAGGACATTTTACACTTCACATTTGAAGGAAAAAGCACCTGAAGATGAAGTTTTTAAAAGAGTAAGATTCAAATCATTCGAAGAGTAGTAAAAGCTGACCACTCACCTGACCCTGGCCGAGAGAAATTGCACTAAGCTTCTTTGAAAACCTCATTTCTTCAGCAAATTTATACAGGTCTGCGGCTGGGTCAGTTCCGACTGACAACACGAAGATGAGTGGAGTGGTAGGAGACGAGTCTTTAAACACAAGAGACAAATCCGTCGTCTAAAAAACAAAAGTTTGTAGGAATTCTAAAGTTTGTCTTGCAGTTGAGGAAAATCAGATTTACGTTCATTTTAAGTTATAACTTCTAGATGACAGCATTTTTTTTTAGGATAAACTGACCACGCCGTCAACACAAAGGTATCAAAAGTTACCTGGGGTTCAATGAACCGCTGGCCAAGATTTTCAGAAACAAAATCCTATAAGAAAGTAAAACAATCAGTCAGTCTTATAAAGGGCAAAATGACATGTTTAAAACACCACACTTCGATGTATTTTTTAATTCTTGTACCTGCATTGCATTAGTAACTTTGTCAGCTCTCAAGCATTTCAACGCAAGAAGCTTCTGGAACGAATCCAGGTCAGTGTTCCACGGTTCAGGCAACGGCTCACTATGGGGATTTAGAAATAAAACATTCAACTAAGTATGATTAGGTGATGAAAAAGAAATGATGACCTACTTTTTTTAAAAGGATGATAGACCCGTAAAACCAAAGCAAAAACGAACATACAAACCGAAAAACCAACAAACTAACAAAGACTAAAAGGAAAGAGAGAGATAAAGAAAGCAAAGTCTTAACAGTATCAAATATTGTCCTCTCTGTTTCAATTCAATCCATTTTCTTTTTAGTGATAATTGAAAAGTGATTCGTGAATAAATAACTAACCGGTGAGGGTCAGCACTGTCAAACATTCTTCGAAATCCCTCTATGTGATTCTTGAAGTCTTCAGCAAAATTGGCAAACTTAGGCTGAAATAGATAAAGAAGCAACAACAGTTATTAAATGAAGAGCTAAAATTAAGCAACCAAGCCTTTTTTTAGAAAACTTACATTATCCAGCAAAAATGGTGAACCAGTTAAAATGTCAATCGAAATCCTTATGAACCGCAGCGAGGGTGAAAATTAAGCAGACACACTGGGAATTCATAGACACGATTTTCTTTTTGTTGTGAACCTCAACCATTCCAGTTAGCGTACGATCGTTCGAGCGGAATGAAGACTTGTCTTCAAGGAGAGACGTCACGGTTTGACCATTATAGAACCTTGGCTTAAAAATTTGTCAAGCTCTTAATGAGCAATCAGAGTTGATCTTCGCCATCCTACAAAAATCAGTTTCTTCTTGGGTCATCCCTTTTCTTTCTTTATTTTTTTTTTCTTTACTGCGGAGTAAATATTTCGAGGTTCCACTAAAAGATGAAAATTACCTCTATGCGCCCATATCAATGTCACGTACGATATTTCATTCTGAATATGACTTACCAACACTGGAAGTCGAAGTATTTCGGACCAGGCCCGGTCTGACAGCCAGTCCTGGGCGGGGTTCTCAATCTCCTTGGGAATAGCAGAGCCACCAGCCAATAGGAAACGCCACTCATCCTGAAAGAGAAAAGTATGCCAGCTTTAAAAAAGAAAAGATTTTCAAAAAGTAAACAGATACTAAAAGGTAAAGGTATCAGTGCTCACCATGTTAATCTTATTGTCGTTCATCAGGATTCTGACGCACACGAGGAATGAGAATAAAAGTTTGTCTTTTTCGAACAAACTGCGACATACGTTAGAGTACAAGCTGAATGTGAAATAGTCGTTGATGTTTACGATACGCTTTTCCAAGTTATCTGTAAAGAGGATAAAACCAACAGAAAAATTGTCATGTACTAAACGACCATAAAAAGAAATATGTACAAAAGCTTGACACGCAGTTACACTAAAAGTTTCAGAGAAAAAAATCAAACTACATACCTGACGCTTCAGCGTTTGCTATGCTGTTAAGAAAGATGCGGATAAACCACTCCAAAGAGTACTGGTACATAGGGTCTATGTTAGCCTGGAAAATAAATGAAAATAAAGCTTAAAAAGCAGTGCTATCGGGGAGATTAGTTTGACAGGTCCTTTCTTTTCAGTTTTCACCATGTGAATCAACCCCTTAAGCAACCCTGTACATATATTAATTTCCGGTAGAGGATGCGATAGGATATTCTTGGTGATAGACTTAAAGGTGGCAGTCACGTGATCTCCGGGTCATCTAGAAATGTAAAAGGAAATACTTACCAAGTCATAAGTACAGAAGAAGAGTATCTGAGTTCTGACAGCTACAGGGATGTATTGACTACGTGTCTCGTCAATATCTTTTTCAGTCTGTTCTGCAATCACCACTTTAGCCTGAAACGGCGGACATAGTTTCACTTACCAATGTAGTGAAGACTAAAAAGAATCTCAATATAAATAATAGTACAGTATTGACGCCGTCTTACGTTTGAAGTTTTCAACATCAGTTACGTGGCAAATAAAAACTGGCTCGCTTAGACAGTTGACAAATGCTGCCTGCGTGCAATGGGAAAGACGATGAGCCAATCAACTGATTTACTACCAAGGCCGGAGTGAGTGTTAATAACACCATCTTTCGTTCTCCTAATTCCCTAAATCCCCCTAAGACGCAAACAATACTCAGCAATAAATTTTGCAAATTATCCCTTGCGCACAAGCGTAATTTTGTGACAAAGGGTTAAGTTTGTATATCTTCTGACTACCGCACACCGACATCTCCTTCCACAGGTCGCAGACACCGCTGATTTAAAGGATCTGGAACTTTTCTCATTATCAATTAAATACTTTTTAAAGCAGGACAAAGAACACAGAGCAGAAGTTTCCCCATTTACCTTGATTTCCATGGACTTGGCTTTAGACTGTTCCAGTGTATGAATCAAATCAATGTCATCCACAGGGCTGCCTTCAGATGCCGATAGTTTGTGGAGAATCTTATCTTCAATCTCTTTGAGCTCTTGTTTCATTTTTGCATTGCTGACAATCAACTGATTTTTGGCTTCTTCCAAGTCAGGCCTCTCCTCAGCAACCACTAGAGCTAAAAGCTGATCTTCAAGACCGCTATAAAACGAAAAAAAAACTGACAGTTAGTTACAAGTATTATGAGAATCGGCTCAAGAGAGAAACAGGACCTGCATAACAATATAATGCTTATTCTTCGTAGCCCACAGTAAGAAATTAATTTGGATACAGCATGAAAGTTGCCGATATGAAGAGCGGAATGAATGCAAGTATGAGGAGCGTCACAAAACCAAAATCGCAGTAATTACAGTAACCAATCAGAACAAACCTTAATATCACAAGGGAAAAAAGTGAGTACCCAAGGTGAAAACAAGCAAACTAGGTGTGGTAAGGAAGATGATTCAGCAGGATATGATAAGCTTCAGTTTGCAGCAGATCGGTTATTAGGAAGGAGGAGGATAAAAACCTAGGGAAGTAGGTATTGCATTCGACACTTAGTTGAAAATTGCTCAATAAGAAACAATGTTACTCAATTACTGTTAAACACAATTATTTTTTATTATTGTTATTATTCGCTTGTTTTTCGCGTTTGTATAACATATCGACTATGTTCGTTTTATCTGACTTGACAAAAGCGATTTTAGTGACCACTACCATTCTACCTACCCTGGTGAAAGAGTGAAGTTGACAATAGTGACCTTTGTGGACACTTCAGGAGTGTAGTGTGGGTTAGGAAGCTTTGTAGTAATGTAAAACTTAAAGTCATCGTGATAAGGGATGATGGCGTCTCCGAGCTTGATCACTGTACTACCTGACTGCTTGAATGTCTGAAACACAAAAATGTTTCACCATATGAGCAATCGGTATTAGTTGAGTTTTAAAATTCTTTTATGGTTTATATTTGAGCATATTTTAAAGGATACTCAAAGAGCAGTAAAAGAAGAGAGAATCATAATAACCTTTGGTCACAATAGGGGGATTAAGGAGAAATCTTAGTTTCCGAAGGATACGAATCATGGGCCTTTCGATCTCGTGGACGGATGCTGTACATTGAAAATGAGCTAAAGAAGACTCGTTTTTGATTTAGGCCATACACAAGCGAGTCAGAGGTTCACAAATAAAATTTTATCTAACACTGAGCTGTAAAGAAGGTTCATGTAACGGATAAGGGCTATGTTACAAAGCGGCAACTTTAGATGGCGAATGAATCTCCTTTGAACCTCCCAGAAATTGAAATTTTCATTTTGAGCAGTGTTCAGATCTCTACCTTTTAAATTGATCTTCAATCATTTCCTTACTTGTTTTAGCAATATAGGTTCTAAAGCTGGATCCAGTTCTTCTCCAACATTTTCTAACAGGCACGGTTTACCGAAACGCACAGCGTTTTCTAAGCTTCGTAAGAAATCTCGGTCGCTGAGTTTGATTACGTCAAGACCGGCGTCTTTTTCCTACAGGAACCAAAATCAAAAGTTATGAAAACAAAGTAGGAAATGGATTTAACCTAATAAGCAAACCTATTCAGTGATATGAATTGTCTCTGGCAAGAATGAAAAGGCACTTCTTAATAAGAAAAGCAAATAAGCCATCAAAAAACACGCAAATGAATAAGTGATAAATCAGAGCGAAGTTGGCAGCCGAGATAACAAATTATAAAACCCTTAAACTGACGGAAAACATGTCCGGAAAAGAAATTGGTTTTCGCATAATCTGTGGAGTTGGTAAATAGAGATTACTCCGTGGAAAGTGCACACGAACGATTTTTATTCACGAGTTGAAGTGCATCAAAAAAACGAACGAGTGAGTTTTTTTGATTCATCGCAGCGAGTATTTGATACATGCCGAGATATTTTCTTATTACTGACCGACATATTTCAAAGATTGGAAGCGCAATGACTGTGAAAATGTATCGTTCGTATAATCAGAGACACGAACGATAGTACTTCACAATGTAAATCTTAGTATGCATGAAATAAAGTACTTTTCCACATTGTGAGAGGCTTACAATCTCGTCAATTCAAAACTATTATATTTCATCCTTGGTCTAAAATTGGGCTGTTCCTTAATAACTAGCCATTACCATCTTAAAATTGCGTGAGATTTCCAACAAAGTGACATATGAACCGTCGATCATTTATCAATGCAGTTGTCAAAACCTGGTTAGCTCATGAACTTACTAAGCTTTTAATCCACTTGTTAGCCTGCCCCTGAGGGTCAATAAACAGTGGCCACCTCTGAGAGAACTGCACAATAACACCATTCTCCACAGACAGCGTGTCACGGGGCAAACCAGCAATCTGCCAGTTGCGAATCTTTACAGGATCTCCAAGTGTTGGCACGAGTGAACAGTTGTCTGAGTGAGGGATTTCCAGACCACGTAATTCTCTTAACCATTCCTCAACCATTGACACGCGGTATTCGCCCTGAGATAGGAGAGACTAATGTTGTCAAGTCTACGCGGATCGTAAGGGTAGGAAGGTCGCATATTTTTTCTCGCCCGTCACGTGATCGAAATGGCTGGGTCCTCTTTATCATAACATTATCGTAATGATGATAATAAAATCAATAACCACACCAAAGCCAATGGCAAATATGATAATAATGATGACAACAAAAATGAAAGTTACAACGACAGTGACAACAATAACGATAATGATAATGATAAAAAGATGAAAAAAATGATAAGGATTAACACTATGCCGACGACAATGACAATGACAATGACGGCAATGATAACGAGAACGATAATGATAATGACGATGATAATGATAATTATTAACCACAATTATAAAATATTCTTCGTTAACTATAGCCGATTGCTAGTGTTAAGGACAACACAAAATATAATAAGACATGAAAAGGAAGGAGGCAGACCAGTGAGATTTTGGCAAGGCAGAGCTAATGGGTAAACTTGGGGCCCACGGAAAACAAATACAGTGTGGGGGCTTGAACCTGTGACCACCGAAATACAGGACCAACACCTTACCACTCGGTCACGCTGAACCTTTTGAATAGCAATATTCCCGTTTACGTTACACTCGATGTTCTTCCTAAATTAAATTTTCTCGACGAACCGATTGCTTTCTACGGAACACAACAATACAGAACGTCAGTAAAACCATAACTTAACCGCTCCCCCTGAGAGACAAAGCTGCAGGAAACGTGGGGAAAATATTGAATCAATAATTACGCCAACAGAAATGGGTGTTATATATTTTATGACCTCAAACGTCTTTTCAAAATAAAGAAAATGAGAGAAGCAAGTCATAATCGGTCTTGCAGGTGGACAGCTTGAGTAAATGCGAATGAAAGGGCTTGTTTAGCTCAACTTTCAAAAATCCCCCAATAGAGACAAAAAAAGATACTGTTGTCAAGATGAAATTTAACGGTTAAAAAAAAGGGAGACGATTTTTGGACACGTTCTACATCTGTTAAAAGTCACCCTACTCACTTTTGAGAAAGAAAAAATTTTATCAAATGCTTGTCCATGTTGTACTAATTAGGAGCTAATGACCCAATGACGCCTGCCCGAGGATATATAGCAAACAGACCAAAGGGCACAATGTCAATGATTATGACTTGAGCATTATGGTAAACAACAGACTTCTCAACAGGTCACTTTCGCTTAAAAATGGAAATCATTTTCCTCTCCTGATGACCATTTACAGATGAATAGATGCGAGATTTATTGTATACAGTACGGAACTCAATTTATCAAAGTACTACAAAAAGCAGTTTAAAGATAATTTTACTTGCAAATGCAAATAAGTATTTATTTTAGGAACAATTCAGAGCACGTACTCATCTTATTCAGCAAAGCTGCGTCCAAAATTTCGTGAAAAAGTCAAGAAATTGACTCTTTATGACGAATTTTTCTCAAATTGAGTTCTAAATCTGGGTGGCTAATCCCAATTTTATGTCACCAAACTGCAGCTGCTCGCAAATTTAGCTCGTTATACAGTGTACTCAAATTGCAAGAAAAAAATTAAAGCGGCGCTCAACCGACAACAAAAAATTGTACTTATCCTTTATTGAGCTCCAGTGAATCCAGCAAAAAATAAAATCAATCAAACCTTGCAGATATTACTGCGGCACTAACGGATGACAAAAATACACTTAGAGGTTTGTTCAACTTCGAAAGTCTGGCTGGGACGGCATGAAAATGAGTGTTCAGCAAAGGGACAAAAGTTTTAATATTTTTCGGTTTCCTAGCCATTAAAGCGAGGGCCAGCCATTTGTGATCTTGATTAAACACAAACAAGGCAAGCGGTTTGAGAGCTTTTAGCTGGGGAAAGAAATTTGATCTTCTTCCCACAAGCCTCACCTGTGGCCAAAATGAGAAAAACTTACTTCAATAAGACCTTCACAGCCTAAATAGAGCATGACCTGAAGATAGATTCAAATGTTTAAGTTTTGCGACTACTTGAAGGAGATTGCTTGTTGATCACTCCACAAGGACTTTCTCGTCATGAACTGAACGACTAGTCAGTGTTATCGCACGCATTATTCAGAGAAATCATTCAATCAATTTGCCCACACTTGGCGTATTCACAGATGCTGTTAGTTCCTTTACATATTTTTCCTTGAAAGAAAGGATTTCACACCAAAAGCCATTTTTGTATCTAAAGAGACTATAAGAATCTTTCATTCAAAGATGGGAAGCTTATTACCTTCAGCTGGCTTAGACGGTACCATGGCGGTGAGCTGTTGTGTTACGCAACGAAGATTGCTTTACAGTTTTTTTTTAGAGTACCATGCAACCGGCTCGCAAGCTGTTCATCGCTACACGCGAATTTCTCCCTTCTTTGAACAAGTATTTATTCTTTCTTCACCAGTTTTGATGCCGTTTGTGAAACTATTTGTCAGTGAAATCGTTCCAATCGTTCAGTCAGGCGGATTCCACGGTTGACGTGGCAGTATTGCCCATGCTTACTGTGTTTGCAGGAGCTATTTCTTGGTTTCCTTTACGCCATCGCAGAATCTTTATAAACGCTTTTCGGAAGTTCGGTAAACGCCAGGCGTAAATGAAAGGATTCAACGCCGAGGAACACAGTACAAAGATGAACTGCATATCACGACAAATGTGGATTGTGTAACAACTGCACGACGAGCACAGATTCATAAGGTATATCATAACAAGCGATGGCGTATAACAACACAAAAATAGCCCCAACATAACAACAAACACCTGTGTGATATTCCTCTCAAAAGCCGCAGCTCTAATTTTTGCTCGGTTTTCTTCTGTTTGCGAACTATCCCGCAGCATATTCCACTCCATAACCTGAGCTCTCATACTTTTTAAGGATCCAACATATGTCGCGAGAAATATGATCAAAGTAAACGCTATGGCCGTGTTTGCGAAGACAAATGTATAAAGCAAATACCCGACTTCGAAGTAAATAAAAGGCAAAGCGAACGAGACCAGCCAAATAACAGCCGCGATTATACAGGCGCGTGTGATGGTGAGTCGTGCTCGATACTGCAACGGATGACTTATCGCTGTGAAGCGATCAACTGTCAGGGCTGCGAGATTCAGTACGGATGCGGTACAAGAGATGAAGTAGGACATGTGGATAGACCACACATTATTCAACTTCAGGGAAAATCCCTCGCGAAAATGCATGTATATCGATAACGGCTCCACCACCATGCCCACGATCAGATCTGAAATGGCCAGATTTATCACAAAGAAAGTGAATGGCGTCCTCAAGCATTTGTAGGGGTCTTTCCACACCGCCAAGCAAACTAAAAAGTTACCTGGTATGGTGAGTAGAGCGAGACCTAGAGAGAGAGCTGCTGTTATGAATGGAAGGGTATCAGGTGCTGGTACCCCATCGCAGGAATTCCCTCCAAAAGTCATCTCTGAAAACTCGATCGGACACCAAAGACGTGCGATTAAGCTTTACAATCCAATGTGTCTTCAATTAGATCTTAACTATGATGGTCTTCGACGACTCTTTCAGGAAAAAAAGGGATTAGATTTGATTGATGGCTGTCAAACTGTTCAGCTTTTAGATCCAGCCCGTGCTTGGGCCTGACTTCCACTGTGCAGTTTAACCTTACCGCTCCTATCTTTGGCACTGAATAACGATGCAACACTGGCTTTAAATAGAACGTGCTGACGACGTGCCAGATTGAAAGCCTGATAGTTTGCCTAGGAACATAGAGAAACCACAAGCTCAGGCAGCTGTTCAAAGAGTGTCATTTGCACTTCAATATGAGTTGAATAGATGACGCTTTTCAATTTGTTAGTCAGTTTCCAACAACAGCGCGATCAAGCTTCTTAACGTGAAATCATTATGAATATTGCAACACTGGCTTATAAATAAAAGAAACCTGACAATTCTGAATTTGAAACTCAGCTATCTTCAAACGGTCTTGTGCAAGAGGAAAGTTTCACATGCTTCTGTCAATAAATTGATGAATTGCGGCAATTCACCGCCGTCACTTTATCCTAATGTGGCTGACAAGCTTAATTGCATTCTCACCTCGTCGGAAATGGAATCTTGATTAAAAATCCGGTTAGAATTAAACCTTCTGTCAAACATACAAAACTTTGGGAAAAGCCTTGGGTACTGCTAAGCACCCTTGATAAAGAAGAAACCTGAATACATAAGAATTCTAATTTCAATATACAGCTAGCATTTTGATCAGAGCCTTCGAAGTTTTCTATTTTTAGGAAAATTTTATCTACTTCAAACAGTAAACAGCTACAGACCGGTGCAATAACTGCAAAATCTGAAAGCAAATATCATGGTCTGTGACACTTCCCGCTAAAAATCGATAAAACAGAGCTGATAGGAATCAACTTCAAGTGGAGTTTTTAATATCTAAAGCTTAACAAGCCTTTCATTTTCTCAACTATCATCATGAAAGGAAGACAGGAGCTATCAAAACCTGAATCATTAAATTTCGGCGAACGTGAGATCAAAGAATAAACACTACGAAGGCTTTTCAAGAACAGGAAAGGCCTTCAGGCATCGAAACACTATTTGCACTGATGTGAATTGAGAATTATGTAATTAAAAGGAGGAAAGGTTTACTGAAGATGAAATGAAAATGGGTAAGATAGCGATTTAGTCGACATCATGATTCTTTACTACTTTGCATTTAGTTTCTGACCCTTTTTAATTCAGCCTAAATTTGAAAAAATTTACTGCAAGTCATCCAAGAAAACAGAGGCAGCTCGGAAAATCTGCAAGTGTGTAGGAGTTATGTACGAAAATATAACACTTCAGAGTGATTAAAACACAATTACCGTTCGTTATGTAGGTTGAACTGCCAGCAGTGTAATAGAGCAAATTTGATCACTCCTAATAGATGTTTCCCTCAACTCCTGAGTGTTCATGAACTGCGGGAGTCTACTGAATCGTCAAATTAGCAGGAAGTGTTCAACCCAAAATCTTTTACGATAGACAAAACAAAAAGCCATTTTCTTTAGAAGAAAAAACTTTTTATTAACGCCTCCCCATGAGATTAATTTGACTGTCTCTTTCCGAGAATCTGATTATCCCAGGATGAACCGAACCGGTTATCTATGTTTCTAATTTCGTTACCTGCGGATTAGTTTATGTAAAATTCAGGATAATGATCATTTCTACTTTCCTCTTTCTCTCAACCGAAAAAGGTTTATTAATGCATTCAAGATTAATCATGGGCACAGAGTGTATGTAAGGTGTCGATTACTGAAATTAAAATTATAAATTTATACTATCAACAGAGCTAAGCAACACAACCTGTCTCTCAGCCAAAATTATGGTTAAAATTTGATATCTTTAATAACGACATCAAGACATATTAATGGATAAAAACCCCACAAACGAAATTTACCAAACTGATTAAAAGTTATCGAATGGACAAATTATGTGGTTCAGCCTGCCATTCGCTCTTACCGTATTAAGAGCAAATCTCAAAGAAACAAGGGGCCAGCCAAAAGAATAGGTGATTAAAGCCACGGCAATTACACACAAACATTTCCTCAGTTTAATGCTTAAATAGAAAGTCAATATGGTAGTCAGGCTTCCTGATGTTTCTCGGTTATGCGCAAAGAAAATTACACTATGAGTGCTTGTGCTTCCAAATCAACACTCTCTTTAAGAGATCAACACTGAGAAGAAACGTTATATTTTCTTACCACGGCTTGGTATATCCCGACAAAATTCGAACGAATTCTTTTGAAATGAAAAAGGAACTTTTTTTCCTTTAAAAAAAAAACCCCACACATTATTGGCATGTGAATAATAGTTATTTCAAACTCACCGTAAAAGTGCCAAGGTAGGCGATTACCCCGGATGAAATCATGACGTCACCAACAATATTTACAATCTGACCATCAAATGACAGCACTGATTCATGCCAGCGGATTTTTTCGTCACTGAGGCCACCAATCAACTGTGTTATAGGAAAGTAAAATGTAGACTGTTTCTACCTCACGAATAACAATATTCACGTCGCGCTCCATAACGGGTCATTAAAAAAAAAAAAAAACTCATATACATAGTGATCACCGGGGCATAAGTTTGCGAGGAGACAAAGATCAATTCATTAACTGCAAGCTTAATGCCTATAACAGGTCTACCAGCTTCTGTAACACGTATTGCATGAAATTAATAATTCTTTTTCTCAGATACGTTGCATTTCATGACAGGCGAGCAGTTCTTCAGAAAATTATTCGACAATTCGACAGTATCCAGTTACCGCGACCCCAGGAAACAAACAAGACTGGCCCCAGAGCAAGACAAAACACATCAGTTTGACTTAGAAAAGAGCTAAAAAAAATAAAGGCTGCTTTAAATTTGTTAGAACTGATCGCTCGTATAAGACCAGCGAGTCTGAGAACTGAAAAATCTGGTCCAATCCAAACTGAGATAATTAAAGGAGATCCCCTCTGATACAAATGTAGTCAAACCGATTCGCTACTTTGTTATCTTATAAGACATACTAAACAGCTGGATCAGTTTTCAACGCAACACCATGTAACACTGACCTTTTCAGCTCGACCAAGTCTGGCCGAGCACTGTTCTGTTTTAAACTCTAATTCCTGTTTCTTGGCAATACACTCCTCGTATTTGGCCTGAAGGGACGCGATGCCTTCCTCCACCTCGGCCAGCCGAGCTTTAGCCTCCGCAAGAACACGTTGGGTTTCTTGTAGCTCTTCAGTGGCTTGTTTTAGAGCAGCCTACGGAGGAAGACAAGTCATCCTGAATATTCCTGCTGTTGTCGCTTAAGGGCTTAAATTCAGCAAAGCCTATGAAATGACACCTCATTTTGGATAATTCAAAATGATTTCTGAAAAATTCATCCTCACACCATCAACACACTCGTCAACTGCGTAATTTATGGCCATTTTTGGTGCCAAGTTGAAAAAATTGAAAAAAAAAACAGTTTGCTCGGGCAGACAAACATCACCGATGTAAGGAAAGATCCATGATGGTCTAAGATCAGGTAGACGTCCAAGGACTGCACATTTTTCAAGACAGACAAATTATGACGTAGATCTCTTTAGTCTTAGGGTGCCAGGAAATCGACCAGTAAGTCTGTTTTAAATAGAGAGGGTGACACATGGCGGAATCGGCAGCGGTGTTACCAAAGAATCAAAACTAACAAGTTAAGACATAGTAATCAATTAACTCACCCGTTTAGGAGCTACTGCTTTAGACACGAAGTGATATTTGTGCATAGCTCGTACCCATTGGCAGATGGACGTACACGCCTTCGACACCTGAACGACAGATGGAAACAAAGCTAATCAAATTAATGTATAAGTGTATATGATTTTTTATTAATGAAAGCAAAGGTGCAAGTAGTTGAAACTGTAAAGATCGTTAGAAAGATGTAACAACACCACAACAATAAAGAGAACACATGCACACGCACACGCCCACACACACAAAAACGTTTTTCCGGCGTGATGGCCAAAGCGGTGAGGAAGGCCTAAAAATCTATTCATAATACTTAAATTGAGTTTAATCGGTTTTCAGGTTTACCTTGGCAATGTTAGCTGGTTGGAAATCTTCGTTGTCTATATACGGTTGTATTTTCTGAATCACTGGATCGGGGATGTTGTCCTTAAAATGAAATAATAGTTTTATGCACCTATTAAGCTTTATCATATCCATTTTGAAATAAATGATAGTCCTTGCAATCTGCATGATTGTCTCTTAGCAGTGCGATTTAATATAGAATCGCAGCATCTTTACTCCCAGCCAATAGGAATAACACAATAAAACCATACAACCAATCGTTCTCTTTTATGAATTCATCTCCCCTGCTAAAGGATATATGAAATATCACTACCGTACTAGGGTAATAATTTGTGCGTTTTCAAAATGGATGTAACGAAGTGGAAACTGAACTTTGTGTCGTGCAATTTAATCTGAAGTTATATCTGTGACTTTGGAGAGAACTGGAACCCATTCAAATCAATCTATATTGAGAAAAATGTTTCAAGTTGACGTTATGCAGGTAAGTATTTTTACCTTGTCGAACTTGAAGAGACTTTCAAGAAATTTTCCAGGGTCTTGAAGCAAAGCTTTGCCAGGCTCCCAGTAATCATCTACTTTTGTCCCAACCTGCTCAGTACAAGGATGAGAAATAAACAAATTATTACAACCTATAAAACAAGAACAACAATGCTCAATAAACGATCTCCATCCAACCAAGTAGAAAACAAACAGACTAGCAAACAATAAACCACCTGGTAAAATATTTTGTAAACTTTATAACTGAAGATTGATAATAACTGGCTCTAAACTAAGTTTAATAAAAGTCTTTTAAAAAACAAACAAAACCAACAACAAAATAGAACTCAAAGAGGATGCTAGAAAGTTCAACTTTTTCTTTTTCAGTTCTCATAAACGTCACGTTTCAACTCTCCATTGCGTAGTAATGCGTTCCGTTACACTGCGTTACGTTACGTTTCGTAATTTCATGTGTGGCTAATTTGCTTCAAAGTATTAACCTTTTCTCCTGCAATCTTCTTGGGCTTGACGCCTTTCATTATACTGACAGCTTCAATCACAAGCTTCACACCTGGAGGAGGACGCTGAAGAGCTCGAACCTGTCACATAGCAACAAGGAAACCAATGCTCAACACTTGCTAGGTAACCAAACGTTAAAGGAGAAAATAAGAAAGTTTCTCAGTATGTCTCTTACCTCCACGACATCAGTCTTATTTAAGGACTTCAGACTCGTCAGGGCCGCTTCCTAAAAGCGAAAGTGAACCACTTAGAATTTAAATTCAACAGGTACCCAAGAAAATCGCCAGGCCTCTGAGCACCTGAAATTACAATCATTGAAATCTGAAGAATGTGCAGACTTTACAAAGCTGGAAATTTCTCTTACCAGTGCTGGCAAGGCCTCGTCCAAGTCTCTCTGAGCGTCATCAGCAATGGCCTGGGTTTCTGCAGCTTTTTTAGCGGCTTCCTCTTCTTCTCGCTGTACAACAACTTTAGTCTCGTTGGCAACAACCTGTCAAAAGATAGAAAAATATCATCGTTTATAATGAATAGCACCAACTGAGACAATAAGGAGACAATGGACTTGAATAGGTATAGTACACCCTGGGCTGTGTTTTTAAAGACGATAACTCAGTATTGGTGTAAAATCTGATTTCAGATCTGAAAGCTTCAAAAGAAAATTCAGAATAATTTTTCTTTGTTTACAATTTGATGATTGGATGCTATAAAAAGAATGATGAAAATTATCCCAAACAAGCTTTTAAATAAGGGAATATAGAAACCCAGATTAAAATTTAACCGTGGGTAAGCGCTAATCACCCTTTCTACAACCGGGTCTTTTAGATGTTATTTGCTAGGTAAAAGGAACATGGGGGAGCCTGTTGAAATCTGAAGGAAGTTTACAGAAGAGGATCTGAAAAAAGAAAATATCCGCTAATTCAAAAATATAGTAGCCAGTAGAGTCCACTGGCGCAGCATTGTGGATGTTTTTTGCTCCCGTAAAGCTCGTGGAAAAATGAGTATTGTGACAGCACTCGGGAAAGTCATTATAATGATTCTCATGGTATACCGACGACTTTTTCTCACAGAATAAGAAATTATCTACCATACGAATACGTGGTAATAATAATAAGGGGACAATAAGGGAGGATATTCCACAACATGCACAGTTTTCATTACCGAGTCCACTTTAATCTTCTCCATTGTCTCTACAGTTTCTTCAGCTGCCTGAGCCAACAACGGCTGCATGGTCTCCAATTCTTCTTGTAGCTTCTCCACCTCATCTGCTGTACTTAGCAACTGAATAACAACAACAAAAATAACAAGAGAGTAAAATCAGATTAAAGCTAAGAGCTTCGTTTGCGGAGACACGGCGTGCTAACCATTAACACGGGCAAATCGGAAATTCAGATGGAAAATTAAACGTTACGCTAGTCGCGTTATTCTCTTGTTGGAATGTTTGTAAATTATGGGTTGGTAGCTAGGTTGATTTACTATCCGAGTTTTTTTCAGGGTTTTTGATATATCTAGGTAAGTTGTTGACACTTTGTATCTTCTGTTAAGTGAAGTTCAATCATAAAATGTTTATGCATGAAATTTGAAACCGATAGCTTTGACCTTTCCTTTACTTACTCTACTTACTTCAATTTCAACAAATGAAAAATAAAATAGTAAAAGCTTTCATACTGCTCCTTTTTTCCTTAAATACACGGAAAGACGTCCGAAAATTGATTCTGAGGCGACTTCCTAAGATTGCCTGAAGTAATGGTGCGATTATACCCACCTTGTCCAACCCAACTTTTGTCCTGTTTCTCGCCGTAGACAACTCCGTCTTTTTCATGCCCACCAACTTTCGAAATGTCCCTAGAAGCTCCAAGTAGCTGAAAAAAAAGTACAGATAGTAATCAATGTATAACATCGCCGAGGATTAAAAGCCAACAGTCTCAACTCATTACCTGGTGGGTGTAACATAGTTGTGACGGGACAACTCAGCCAAGTATTGCTTGGACTTTTCAGCCACTGTCTGATGAATGACTCCACATATTGACACCTGTCGGTCAATAAATAGTTTAAAAGAAGAATATTAAAGATCGATGGTGATTACGAACACTTCGTTGTTGCAGATTACTAGAGCTTGATTTTTTCAAGTTCGAAGACACATATCAGTAGTGGCTCTGAAAAAAAGATCACAGCATTTATTGCCAAACTAAAAGCTACGTAAATGTCAACCTCTTAGAAAGACACATCGTCGCGTTGGACGATTGACCGATTTTGCCAGAATAAAAAAATGGTACAAACTCTGCATCCGTTCTTTTTTCAGATACTAGGTTCGGTCTCTTTGGAGTAGGCCGATCCTAACTTGAAATATATAATTCATGTGATAAAAATCAGGGCATACCAAGCCTTCCATTGCCGAAGATTCATCCAGTTCGGGAATTTCTCCGAGGAAAGTTGACGCCACGGATCGTAAGGCCTCCTTGGGCCAAGCAGAAAACCAATCAATGGTACAGCAGTTGACCAAAGACGGAAATTGGCGGAGACGTGCTCGGAATATTTCACCAATTGGGCTACAAGAGATACAGGTTGATATGAAATCAATGATTGCTAGACGAAGGTATGACGCCCCAAATATGGCTCGTAATGGAATGAAGGTTGGGCCTCTCGGCAGATGTAGATAACAACAGAGAAAAGGTAATTCTTTGGATCATACAAATTTGGTACAGAAATAAGTTGGATATGCTTGAACCAAAACGCACAGAAATTATCGTCACGCGATTTGACGAAGATTGGAAAAAATACTTTAAATCAATATTGGTATTAGAAGGTGTCTTTTAAAAGGAAAAAAAGCCATATTTAAGGGCAGAAAAAACTCAATATTTAAACCACTAGGGACATTACTTTACTTATGACTCTTCATGACTCCTCAGAGAGAAACTGCAAATCGAGATTAACCAGTGATAAAGGAAGTTAATAACAGGGACACCTTACATACCTCATACAGACAACAGTATGTGTGTTGGCCCGCACTCGTTTAGTGAAAGCTGAGTATAGATTGGCCTTGGTGGGCTGAAGACCCTGATCAAGAACCACCGGCTTCATAGCTGTGAAGATCGCGTCGAGCTCATCTTGTGCGAATATGTTAGGTACATCACCGGCATTTAGAACGTTGTTCAGATCTTCTAAGAAACTTTCGCTTTTAATCTGTTTATATTGAAAATGAAGTTGATTACAATGGTCTGGTTATTTAAACCGCGTCCTAAACAATCCTCAATTTAACTAAAACAAAAACCAAACCCAAAGTAATCACAACGCCCAATCAGAAGAGAGGAAAATACCTTTAAGAGCCAGTAAGAACTCAAAGTAAAACCAAACCCAAAGTAATCACAACGCCCAATCAGAGGAAAGGAAAATACCTTTAAGAGCCAGTAAGAACTCAAGTAAAATCGATTGAACTGACAAAGCGCAGGAAAACGCGAGCGTGCTGGTCGTGATTGGTTTTACGTTTTTCTTTTTAATTGGTTGAGAGAGAGGCACGAGTTTTCTGGACCAATCGCAGAGCAAAGTAATGCAAAAAAAAGCAATCTCGGATTTAAATTTAAAATTGGTCTATAACGTAAGTTTTCGTTGAGACATTCAGTCTCACGCCGCATGCACAACGCACAAATATTTTGCAACCCTCAAGACCATGGTTAGAGTGTTTGTCACCCGTCTCCACTTTCTTCCCATACCTGTGTGTCACTGAAGAGAAAAACCATCGATTTGTTCTCTACACCTGACTTCAGCAGCACCTTTTTCAGGTCTTCACGCCATTCAGGAACACCATAATTTTTCGCCAACTCAATCTGGAAACACTCGTATTCGGCCCTGAATAAAAAAAAAACCAGCACATGAGCCCAAGAGGTGAGATTATTATTAAGTCAGAAAGAGAATCTTTTCATTGCCATGAAAATCACAATTGACGGAAGATCTAATTTTTATGCCTGCATAAAGAGCTCTGTTGCATCGCATTCCTAGCCAACTTGATGAACTTAAACACCTGTAGCCGACCTCGTCGCAAAAAAATCGATTCACATTAATAACTCACATGTGGGCTGCAAGCCTTGTCAGGCTCTGACGTCCGCTGCCTCCCACACCCAGAAGTAGAGCGTTACCCAGCGGCTGGCGAATCACACGGCTGATTCGTGACACGTGACGAACTGCGTCAGTAAAGAGCACCAGCTTCATCTGCGCCGTGTTGATTTGATTGTAGTCATCAAGGTACTCTTCCATTATTTTCACCATCTGTCAAAGTAAGCAAGGAGTGTGAGAGGAAACATGACAATGAGAGATCAACATAAGTAAGAGGCAAAATACAACACAATAAAAAAAATGGTAGATTTTGAGCTCGGTGAAAAAGGTCTGAAATATTACTTGCTCACCTCAATGAATGCCCGGCCTAAAAACTACATGAATACTGTCGTTACGGGATGATAGACATACGGAATCATTTAATCAATAGCTGAAAAGCTGGGAGAACGAGGAACCATCTGCCTGTCTCATAAACCAACCAACTAACTTACCCAGTACCCACAAAATGAAATAAATTGGAAAACCAATGGAAAGATTGACCCGCCGGTAGATAATCGATAGCTACTCGCTACTATTACCTGATAGCAGCACATTTAATTAACCAACAAAATTAGATTCCACCCGTAACTAACCTTTTCAAAACTGGCAACTTCACCATAAATCTTATTCTCTGCACTGGGCACCATAAAATCACCATAAATCATAGTGGAATCTTTGACAACGTCATTCAACGACGACTCAAACCCAGACGCCATTTTGTCCCGAATCAGATCCACGAACCACTTCCTGTCCTCATCATTAACAAGTCGATCTTGAAACACTCGGCAGTTCTCATGGTACCACAGCCTCAGCACATCTTCTTTGTTCTCAAGTTTCTCCGACTGAGCCATGAGAATTCCTTGGAAAACTTTTGACAAGTCACGCAGGTTAAAGGTGTAGTGGCTCTTGGCTGGAGTGGGCAGTAGCTAGAAAGTGAACGAGCGAGGGTAATTTATGGATTGCACTTGGAATGAGTGTTATAAAACCAAAACCAAAGAAACAACAAAAGTAACTCTTCTAAGAAGCTATCAAAAATTCTTGCAAACAACCACCAGTGCGCAAAAAACGCGCGTAACCATGTTACGACTGGTTTTAGTTTTCAGCTGTTTGCAACATTAGCAACTGGGTTAAAAGGGCAGTGCGAGTTTCTAGGCTAACCACAGAACGCATTAAACAAAATCAATGTAATACCGCAATATGCTCTAAAAGATTGACTGGTAAGTTTGGTTTGAAACCATACCAAGAATTAAGAAGTCATAGTACCTGTGTGATAACAGTGTTATAAACGGCGATGGTGTTCCGTACCAGGCTGTCACAGAGTGTTTCTCTGTCTTCACCTACGTATGAAGCTAAAAGTAACACAAGCCAACTGAATTTCGAGGAGAAATTTCTTGTATCAACTACAAGTAGCAACCTTCTCGGTACTTAAGCTTAAAAAAGGGGCTCAGGTCTTACAGGACAGTATGACTTAACTTATAGTTAACAAGTAAAGTACTTTAAAACATCATTCCACGCCACTCAACAGTACATATCTAAGTCTGTTCCTTAATCTTGGATATTTTGTTCCACAATATCTCCTGACCGAAACTTCTTGTCATTATTCGCAAAGTGTGTTCTCCTTTTTTTGTACTCCTGATATTGAAGTTGACCAGAATACCATTGTCCCAGAACAGATGTTTACATTTAAATTCACGGTTTATTACCGTCACTCAAAAGTTTTTACAAACATCCTCGCATTCCTGTCTAACAAACCTCACATAACACTACTTGCTTTTTCCTCTACACTATTCTAACCTGCCAGAACTTTGTTTATATCTGAAAAACAAATAACACCTTGTTAACGTAACTTCTTTAACAGACGGTCCCTCATTTGTGGTGCGAGCGCCTGTAAGTGCTTTACTCACATTCTCAATGGCGACTGTGATGATTCTTCATGACAGAGGGAAATTCAGAAGAGTTCTTAACTTCTCTAAATTGGCTGTATAAATCATAAACACTTGGAAACTTGCCTTTCTCCTACCTAACCAATCAGTAACCTATCTTCTTTATAAAAGGAAGTCTGTCCTCTCCATTTTACTCTGGGCACAAGTTTGTGTTCCTCGGAGTAAATATTCCATAGGGTGGTTAGACATTAACGGTTGATTTATTTCATACTCTCAACATACAGGATGAGCACAATGTTTGAATAACGTACAAGGATTAAACTGAATTAGATACTAACGGCCCGTTAACAGCGATATTGAGGTTTACCTCGTTGTAAGTAAAGTGACCTTTAGCTTTCTACTATCGTAATACTACAATTGGGTACGAGTTTGCAGGCCATCAAATGAGTGCAAGCAACATGACAGGCAACCTGACTGATAACCTTCCTATTGCAGAAGAGGCTTCACTTGAAATTCCTTACCTATCCAGGACTTGAGAATTGTAGCGAAGATTCGCTGTTTACTCTCATCTTCCAGCTCGGTGAATGACAAATGATTGAAGTGTCTGAGGAATCGAGGTGTGACAGGATTTCTACCACCCCCTGGGGGTCCCATTGCCGCTATAAAGTTTATATCCACCAGTTCACGGAAGGTTCCTTAATTAGGAAAAGACACAACATAAATTTACGTGCATCCATGCTTCTTCCAAGGGGTTTCATGCAGCAAACTTATGCATGTAACTGAGACAATGAAGAGGAAAGTGCAAAGAGGCGCGAGCTTCTTCAACACTCACGGATACTTTTAAAAGCTAGGTCACGCGGATTTCTTGAAGTGATTTTTTTGGTGAAGAGTAGAATTATCTTCACACTGAATAAAACTAAAAATAATATTTTGAAAAAGAAGAAAACATAGAAAAGCAATAAAAGACTAAGAATGAGCAAAGAAGGCGAAGGATAAAGAGGGTCACAAAGGGTTGAAAACAACAAAAATAGAAAAAATTCCACTTAATGTATTAAAGACGAAGCTCGTTTGAGCCTTATTTAAGCAGCCTTGCAGCATCTACTCCCCTCTCAATTTCTGGTGGAAAATCGGCGGAAATTATAAATTAAAATCAGCTTAATTAAGAAAAGTGAAGGAGTGTCTATGGGATCACAGTAACGTACCAATGGCCTTCCTGTCGTACCAGCCCTTATGATCGCAGTACTGGCGCAGGATTTCTACAGGAGGCTGGGCTCCATACACTTCCAAGGCAGGCATGTTAAGATCGTCGACAAAAAACACGAAGTGTTTCCCCAGTGGAGGACCAAACACACCTTTACGTCTGAAAATAAATACATGCAATTTGAATACAGAGAGTAAATGTGGCGTAAGACTACCTACTACAAAATTTGAAGAGCAGGAGACCCACAGTAGATGCCAAAAATGTGCCAACACGAGAAAAACAGGTGGATTTAAGCCTGCGAATTCAGATTTTCTACTCCCGTTTTACTCTGCAGGAAACAATATGTCAACGATCAACCTAAACTGGCAGGTTAGTAACACGGTCTCTTGACAAAAATGCGTCAATAGAAGAGAGCACTCGACACAAGCATAAAGGATTGACGAACTAAAGTTGAAAATTATCGAAGGGAAACGAACATTTAAGCAAGAGAAGATAACACGAGAACAAACAGGAAGATGATGTCAGATACGCGACGGTATTCTGACGTTTTAACGTTGTTTAAACAGTACATAACTCGGGTATCTTTTGTGTCACAACTAAACGAACAGTCTCACCTCTTGTCCAGTTTGCTGTCTATAATATCTTGCGTTTGATTAGCAGATGTTCGAGCAGAAAAATTCAAGAAATGCGACAGGAACTCTTTAGGCATGTCGTTCAGAAGTTTGTTGGCTATACAAAGAGTCTTACCAGAGCCAGTTGGTCCAACACTCATCACCTGTGGAAGCAATGAAGTTCTCAAACCTCGTAGCAATTTCCTTGACCCTTTAACTCCCAGAGTAATTGACATGTAACTTCTCAATATAATATCAATACGTTATTTATCGAACAGTTAATGAGAATACTCAAACTTATCAGGTAGAAGTTGTTAATTGTCTTGATTTCATATCAAATTCTTGTAACTTATTTTCGAGGAGATGCGTAGCAGCTAAAGGAGAAAAATAAACTTTGAGATCTTGGGAGTTTAAGTGTTAAGAGACTAACGTCTATGGCTAGAAACAGGTGAGAGATAATTTCATCTTAACAACACTGTTTCTGTCTTAGTATTGTTGTCGTTACCGTCCTTAATTGACTTTGCTTTTGTCGTAGCTGTTATTTCTCTTTTAAATGTCCGATTAAGTCTCAAATGCCAGATTATTATCTGTATTTAAAGAGATCAAGGCAACAAAGTGGTCTTCGGTTGGATGGGACCAAAGAGGATTGGATGAGCAGTGTTCGCGTTGTCTCAGTATTTCGAGACACAGACTAATGGAGACAATACCCTCCTCGTGACATGATGGTCTTCTCTCGTCAGTTGTTTGCTTAACATGGTATCGTTTAATAGTCCAGCCTCTAATCTCACGGCACAGTAGCGTACATAGATATGGATACCTTCTTGTTGTTTGTTAGCAGCGTTTCTAGCAAAAATGAACCTCTGACCAAGTCCATGGTGGGTATGATGATATCGGAGAAGTTCATCTCCGGTGGAATGTCAGGCATGGATATGTTAGCCATCCAGTTTACCCACTTCACCTGTAACACAAATACACAATGATTTAGAACAGTAGCGTTGCCGTCATCGAAAGGAAACGAAAAGTGGGAAGCATATGTTCATGAAACTTGCGAGGATTGAATGACAAAACGAAAATTAAAATCCTTTAAATGGAAATATCAACTTTTCATGAGAAATCGAACAATACATTCCAATACTTCCTTGCGATTTTCCCAAGTCAAAGTTAGTCAGTTTTAGAGGAACATTTCTTTTCCATCTCTAAAACGTTAAGATTTTCCTGAACGGTCACAAACGGCAGGTGCCATCGACGCAACAATTCTCATACAGAGAGGATTTGTACATTTCAAAATATATCGAGAATGTTCTTATGCACTTTCTTTCTTCACCACCCCTCCCCTCTTGAAAAGATGCCTAAAACACCCTCACCTCCCCTGCATGTTCATCCTCATCGTCATCATCCTTGCTGTGCTTTCGACTGACTCCACCATCCTCTAGTGCGTAATCGTATACCAGACCGTCACGTGGAAACATCATAGTAATCTGGAATTGCAAGAATTACACTAGGTTACTATATTCCACCCACGCCGGATGACGTCTATCTACTCTATCAGTAAACAGATGCAATTCCCTGTGTTTCAAGAGTGCGAAGTAAGGTTAGTCAAAAGAGAATCGAGCTCAAGACATGTTAAATAAATGATGAGCTTCTCTGTGAAGTACAGATATTTTATTGAAAATCACCTTCTCGTCATCCATTTTCTTCCTCAGATATTCACTAAATTTCTTCCTTCCGTCTCCATCGCATGTTCCTCCAACGGACCAGACAAGAGCAAAGATAAACCAGGGTTCAATCAGGGTTTCGGCCAAAGCAATGTGCTCTGAACGAATAGTCTCTCCCTAATGAGGTAAAATCAAATGTTCTTATTAATTCTATTTGACAAAGACTGTATATAAGCCACAGACTTAAACTAACAGCAAAATTGAAAAAAAGCATTGAATTGAACTAACGTTATGAAAGTACTTCTAATAAATAAAGAAAAAGCTAACTCTGACTTAGAATTCGCGTCTGAGATCTTGAAAAACGCTGTATCGCTGGCATTTTGTCAACAATCTAACAAAACGTGCTTCACAATAAAATGCGTATTTTATTTATCTTACCTCTTTAGGGACAAATGGAGCAAAGAAGCAATCCAGAATACGCATCAGGCTGGATGTTAGATTACTGTTGACAGTCGGTACAAACTCTTTTGTGTTACTTCTCATAAACTTCAGTGAATCCTGAAAATGATTCAAGTGCAACGTTCAGGCGTCAAGATCTTCGCAGTACTATAAACTTAATATTATTGTCAGGAAGTGTTTTAGACTTACAATGACTTAAATGAGCTAAGAAACTAATAACGTAAACGTACTTGTTAACATAGAGATAACGCATTTTCAATTATATTTCATACGATTCGGCTTTCCCCTTGAACTAACTCTATTAAATTGCTAGCGATCGTAGGAAGAACTCATACCTCTAAGAATCTATCAAAGAGTGACTGTAACTTGTCCTTATGATCAAAGATAGCGTCTGGCAAAGTTTTCAAATAGCAGTTCACGAAAGGCTTGAGGCCCAAGATGCTAGGCTCCAAGTACACCATACCACAACGGCTAACAGTGGCTGGGGAGGCAACAGCAAGGTCCTGGACTTCGAACATCATCGTCATTGCCTGTGAGAAGAACCGGATAATTTTTTAACAAACTCCCTGAGGTGACCAACGGGAAACTTCTCCTCCTCTACGGATAGAGAGTTCCCTTGACATTAAGGCAAATTCTTCCACTAAATTCAAAAGTAAAAGAATAGGAGCTTAAAGGGCGAATCACCTATCATATCATTGGATATCAAGGGATAAAACGCGAAAATAATTGACTTGCCAAGCAACTCCGACAACGTCCGATCAGCTCAATGATGAGGACCTATACAAGATTAAAAAGTCGAATTCTATGCTTACCTCAGTTAGTTTAATGATTTCTCCACTCGTAAGACAAAGTTTTTTGTTATCATCAAGCACAGTGTTCATGTTTTCAATCCACACGGCGTCTACAGGCCCGTCAAACAGGTACCATTTCTTGTCACTAGTTGTGCTTGAGCTGCCAACCCGAATCATGGAAGACAAGATACCATCCGTCCTAGACATTCAGGAGGAAAGTAACAGGTAAAATAGGAAATAAAAATTACCGCCAGGGCATGCCAATTCACAGCAACGGTAGACGCTTCATCAATGAAGCCATCACTCATAGAAAAGTGAGATGTACTAGCAAAAGTCTGTGGATATGATAGGAAAACAGACGGTCGAGTTTCACCCACTTACCATTCATGAGTCAACAAATCAAATTCTCCGTACAGCTGTCCCATAGTGATAGATTTAGGATTCAGCACAAACGTGTGAACCTCTTCATACGGGGTCCCTGCTGGTGAATCTTTACCTTTAAGCGACGTCAGAGCTTTCTGAAGCACTTCGTAGCACTACAGAAACCATTGAACAAAAGGCATAATACGAATAAACATATATATTTTTTTTTTCTAAACGATTCAGTTTCCACATTTAGGTAAGTTCGAAAAGCTTAAACTTCATTGATCATTTTCACAATTGCGGTAATATATATTTCATATATTTTTCGGTAATTTGCTTTAAAAAAATAAAAATGTTTCAATTTTCTATGGGATTACCGGAGCAATAAAATAGGTTTTTCATCAATCAGGGCGCTCGTAGTATCTCCGTTAGTTGGTCAAATCAATTAGACGCACTCTGAAGGAATTGCTGAAGCATCTCAACTTAACTAAAACAGCCAGTCTCAGCTTGACTTATGGATAAGAAGAACGAGTAAATTAAGAGTTCAGAATCTCGTTCAGGTAACAAGAAAGCAAAGATTATACGTGCTGAAAACTCACCCTTGTTTTCCCTGATCCAGTAGGACCCACTAACATGAGCCCATGCCTGACCACTGTTGTCTCGTACAGCTGGATGCACTTGGTCACAAATCCATCCACATCTTCAAGTCCCATTTTCAGGCACGTCTTACGGATGGAATCTTCCAGATCACCATAGTCAATAGGTTGTTCTCTGTGGAAAAACGTTTGATAAAATATTCACTTCAACAAACTAGAACAATGATAAATTCATCAAAGCCTCCAGAGCTGCTTCCTATAGCTTTACAACGTGCAATGACGACTTTCTCAAGTCTAAAAGCACAACTTCATTATCATGCGTGACGTTGCTCATGCTATGGACAGGCTCACTTACGGCTTTCGTGCAGTTTTTTCGCGCGAATTAAACTAAATGGCATCACCCCTGAAGTTTTTGTCTTCAATTTCCCTCTTACTTTTAGTTTATTACTTACTTGACTTTAGGGAACAAGTCAGAAACAATGCCACGGAACAATTTCAAATCATCTTGCAGAAACTTCGGCACATTCACATCTCGTATGGCACGCAGTACAATAAGTTCCTGGAGGGAGATAGCAACAGAACAACACGATCAAAATAAGACCTATTCAGCATTAACTGCTTGAGGGAACACCTTGGAAGAGCAAATAATTGAAAAAAAAAATTTAAAAACTCTAGTTGAGCTAAATCAAACTTTACCTCGCTCATCTCTGGATTTTCTCTTTTGAGGTTTCCAGCGGCTGATATGACAGTCTTAACAGCTCGCATACCAAAGTCGTAGTGATCCTAGAAAAGGTTACAGAGAACTTGTAGAACTATTGGTCCAAACGAAAAGTTGTACTGTTGGATAACACTTTACTCGACACCTTAACAAAACGCCTTTCCCTCTTGCCTTTATATTTGATATGAAAATTGCATTATGGAGAAATTTCATTATTATCCTGTCAGCCTACACATGTACGAATAGCAAAGATAAAGTAGATTAAATTTCTCCACAAACCTGAGAACTGAGTTGTTCCGATGACAACTTGAATGTTGTGGTAATTTTTTTCGCCAAAGCTTTCGCTTCCGAAAAACCAAATGAGAAAAGACTGATCTCAGCGATCAGCGCGTAATCTGGAACCATCATGGCCACAGGACGGAATAAAGCCTGAGAAACAATGAAAAAATCAAACTTGCACATGAAATATATGCAGTGAAATCACTCTCATTAGATGGTGCTCTATCAAATTCTGTAAATTGTCTTTTAAACTAAGGGACTAGATTATTTAATCATAAAATTCATTAAAAAGTCATAGCTTCCCCACGGTAAGCATAAGACGTTATCTAACTCGAGTGACTTGTCATCTACAACTCTTTTCTGTAGCTGAGGTTTGTTTGCACACTTTTCAAATGACTTTTATTAAAAGGGAGTCTCTAAAGCTTGACAATTAATCCAAAGATGATATTCTGTTAACGCACTGCTCTCTTAAGCAGTGGAAGAGAGTACGAGTACGTTCTGCCTGTCGCTCGCTGTGTTTGGTTGACAAACTTACCTTCAAATTATCCGGAAGCTCTGTTCTTCCAGCATATCCAGGATTCATTGTAATGAACACAGCACATGAGGGCTTCAGTGCCAGCTCAACACCTTCAAACATGAAGCGTTCAGCCTGCAAGCATACATCAGACAGTGGAAAAATCTTTCAACTTAGTTTCAATTTCAGAGGGAGCTACAAGTGAGTGGCGTTTAAACCTTTGCTTTAAAAAAAATCTATGCCGTATGCACAGGTGTACTGGTTTTAATTCAGAAAGTTGTATACCAACCCTCGCTTCCAAAGCTTGTTGGATGGTGGAAATCTGTTGTGCTACCACAGATAATACTTCAACGTCTATACGATTGAACTCATCAAAGCAGGCCCAAGCACCGGCGCTAGAAAACAAAACGTAACAATGTTAGGAGACTTTTTGAATTACGACATTAACTGGTAAAAAAACCACATTAACACAGTGTTTACTCCAAGAGAGAAAGGGCAGACTTTCTGTCTGATTAAAACCTCCACCTGTAACACATTAAAAAGTAACACTTATGAATTTTAAGAATTAGCTGTATACCTGGCCAAACCCTTGAAGAACTTGCCCATGGCCATGAAATCCAGTTGATCAGAGCAGTTGAACACAACACACTGAACTGCCATGGCTTTACCTAAATCCTGTTGAAAATATTAAAGCAAAGAATTTAGACCAAGTTGTCATTGTAATAAACTTGCCTTAAACAGCTCTCTAAGCGACTTCTTCGGCTTGTTCCTAAACATGAAGCGGGTATGCGACCGATAAGTGTAAAGTCATTGTTCTAATCAGAAGAATCATCTAGTACAGTTCCATCAGCCTATGTGTCTAAAACCTCCCATTATCTATGTCATAAGGTGGGGCCTTATGTCAATATAAAACTGCCTAATTTTATCCCAGATATCTTCAGTCTCACATCGTTACGCTTCCCCTCCAGAGTGATGAAGATGACGAGACTCTGATCATAAAAAACAAAAATCACATTAATGTCGATACAAAGATTAATTTTGCTAAAAACCTTTGTGGTCTCTGTCTTTCCCGTTCCAGCAGGACCAGCGGGTGCCCCTCCGAATTTCAGATGCAAAGCTCCAGTGAGAGTTAAATAACAGCGATCTGTCAGGGGGGTGATGACCAACCGACCTGTATTCCCTAGGTACTCGTAGCCATAGTCGAACTGTGCATTGACCGCGCGAATGATCATGTCGTCTTCCCAGTAATACCTAAAAAGTTACATGAATAAGCGCCCAAGTCTCCGTTAAGAACTACAGGTGTACTATAGCTATGTAGCTGAAATATATCTTGATTTCTTGAGTCCGTAAAGATAGATAAAGCTGGTGGTTGGAATCTTTTGATTCAAAAGATCAAATCTACTGAGGAAGACTAGGTGGTGTGCGTGTTCCTAACCCTATAATGAAATGTAAAGATGTCAGGTCTAATAGAATAACTTCAGGTCACAGTCACGGCCAGCCGATGAAACCCACAATACTTATCCAACTATCCTTTCATGAATAGCCATCTCTGTGGAGGTTCGTAGAAAAGCGGAGTCATTTCGAAGGGTACTAAAAATTGCAAAATCAGTTTCAAAAGTAACTGTAGTCAAATTCAGACATGCCTCAACTGGCTTATCCACTCAAAGTCATTCACGTTCTTGACTTTCTCCGAGATCATCTTTGCTACCACATCGCAAGCATGAACCTAAAAGTAAAATAATTAAAGACTTATAACACGGTGAAGAAGACTATGTGCGGTTCATCCCTGGTATTACATTAGCCGTACATGACAGTTGTCACTTTCGGGACAGCTCAAGAACTGGCTTTTCATGCGATATAGTGAGGGGCAAAAATGGACACACACACACACTTTGAAAAGGTGGTGAAAAAACCACTCTACGTCTCACCTCAATCACGATAAGAGCCCCAAGAATCATCCGTGCAAGCTTACTGAGGTTTCCTCTCACCAGAGTTACGAGATCGTTGAGCTGATGGTTAAAAGCAATAACTTTATGACTAGTGAATACTAGTAATCGCCTGTAATTTTTTTTTCATATGAGTCTGTTGAACAAACCCAGTCGTTGAGGTCTTTTTTCTTATTGATTTGTCTTCAATACACCTTTTAAAAAATTCTGCTGAACATTTGGCTAAAGCGTGGCTATAGGATGCCTGAGATTAATCATGCTCGGTGTAGTCAGCACCACATACAGAACTTTTCTTAATAAAAAGATGATAAGACAAAAAATTAATTTTTTGGATACTTACTTGAGCCATTAATGCCTTATAGAGCTCGTCTATCCTGTTCTCTATCAATGCTTCTGATACCTCTTTGGTCCAGTGAGTCTGAGCTCCAGCGATAACTACCTGCCCTGGCCACTGTAACACCCACTCGGTGCGAGGAGTCTGTCATACAGCACAAACCAAGAGTCACACGCAGTAATAACACTGTAACGCTTTGCTCGATAAGTCTGCCACACAGCACAAAATATTGTCACAACTTATCCAAAACTGATGCAAACTAAGGCCGTAATCTGATGCAAACTGAGGCGTAATCGACTGATTCCCTTCCATAAATACGAACGTTAAATACGAATATTACAACGACTCAATCGTCCGGCCGGCTGCATGCATAATACTAAATGACAGTTACCTCTGGATACACTGTTAGGGCTCTGTGTAAAATCTCTCGCAAACTCCCTCTCATAGTGTTCTCCACTTCCAGCAGCCAATCCTCCACATTTCCTGTCGGGTACAGACTGTTGCTGAATGGAACACGTTCTCCCTCGCCGGAGAACATGGAAGAAATGCGCAAGTCTTCCTCGAATGAAAGCTACAAAGCACAGGACATAAGAATTTCCTGATTTAGTCTAAGAGTTTGTTGTTCTATGGTTGTACAGTTGAATGGAAAATATGCTTTGAACTTAACATTTTGTAAAAGTTGAACAGGAAGGTAAGTCAGTTTCAAGCTCAACAAATTAAGTTTACTTCAACTGCATGCCACGTGTGATACACAGCAGAAATCACAGAACGTTTACATTACTTTTCTTTACACTTATTAACTTGGTAATGAAGGAAGGAACTCCTAAAACAAGCAGTAATAATCGTAGTATGACCCACCTTGGCAATATTCTCGAAGCACTTGCGCAGATGAGGTTGAACAGCAGTAGGATCTTTCGTCTGAGACAAAATTTCGAGAAGTTCGTCATCGGATAGGAAGTAGAATCTGGGAAAAGCTGAACGTTTTGTCTCCAGGTATTCACTGAGTCCTTTTTGAACCTAAAGTTAAAATGATATGTTAATTTAATGAAGTAATAAAGAGTTCTGTACTAGACTATGCTTTTGCAAGCAGGACCGTTGAATACACGAAGATTTCCCTTTCTTACCTGTTCTAACAGCTTGTTGCATTCACGAAGACTCTCCAGAAGTCTGGCATCTGGGCACAGAGAGATAACCTGAAATCACACCAGGAAGTAGTTTCAATTAGCGCTGCGTTGTTTTGATTATTTTCCTGACGAACGCAATTCGAACTGGATGTTTATAGATTGAAACACTTAAACACTTGACTAAAACTGTTATTTCTCTGACCTGTGGATTTCCCTTAGCACTGTTCATCACTTTCCTCCATATCCTCTCCATGGTCTGATACCTCTTGCTTTCAACTGGCAACTGTCGGTTGATGTCCTCTGAACTGAAGATGGGCTCCAGATACAGCCACTGGCGCTGACACTGTAACCACTCGTCCATAACATCCTGTGTCATCACCAGCTTGCTCTCCCAGGTGGTGATTCGCTCCTCGAAAGGCTTCTTGTACGGTGAAAACGACATACTCTGAGCCATCACAATGTGGTCGTCCAATAGCTGAGAGCAGTCGTCGCTGACTTTCATGATAAACGTGCCTGTTTCCTTATAAGGCATGACCTCCAGCATGACTGGCTTCCATTCGGACTCCATCTTGTCGAGCGCCTAATTAGAAAAACGGTTCAATGTCAAGGTTAACAGATAGTATTTTGTAGCTGAATCACAAATCATAACAACGTTCTCTATTTCTTTTTTAACATTAAAATGATGTATAATGAACGATACTAGTCTTAAAACCGATATTGAGATATGTATGAACTTTAAAAAGTTAGAACTGTCATATGTTTACCTGTTCAATGGAGTATTCTTTACCAGCGATCTCAGCTACTTTAGCAATAACCTCAATGTGATCTTGTAGCTTCATCTCTAGACACTTTGTAAACGTCAGCTGTGCATTTGCCACGATTGGAAAACCAAGCTCTTTGGATAACTGAGTAATAAAGACAGTAATTATTACAACTAGATCATGAGCTTTCGTATCAGACAGAAATATGTCTGTAATTTAATTCTCTACATCAGAAAAAAGGGATAATGGAAAAATATTCATCAAATTTGAACACTCGTTTTAAATGAACTTTTCATCGTTGTTACAAATAAAAACGGTAAATGAAACGCATAATAATAAGTCGTCAAAAGTGATCCGTAAAATGAGTCTGTGTTGACGACGGAGAAAGTATCGATCGCAGTTACTTTTGTTACAAGCAACATTTTCTCCTAATTACGGACGCGAAATGGGTTCATCAAAACATGTTTTAAAAATGTTTAATCATAGAATAGAGTATAAGAGTGTTGACATCATCAGGTGGAAAGACTGGCTATAAAATGCTTTCTTCGTATCACTAACAAGAGTAGAGCCGAGTTCCTTGGACAACTGTGAATAGAAAAGATAATAACTGAACTGGTTATGTGATATCATACACTATCAGACCCATTGCTTGTAGCAATGGTGTCCAACAGTGTTGGAGACAGGAAGAATTATCGCAAAATTGTTCTGCTCCATTGAAAATCCCACCTCTAAAACTAAACGAACAGTTTTGGTAACTGCGAAATTTCTCCGTTATCAAAACGCAGATTGAACCAGACACAAAACACGTCTGCAGTAAAGCATGTGCTGCGAAATTCTGTGGCAAATCATAATGTAGGAAAGAGTATTATATAAGTTTATAAGAAGTGGCGATTTAACGACTACTTTTCTTTTTTTTTTTTTTTCCAGTTTTCGTGCTGCAAATGAACTACTTCCAGCATAAGAGGGTGAGCCTCTCTTCGCGTGAGAATGGCGGACATTTAGGTAGAAATGTTACATTCATCTCACCTGTTCCCAATGCCTGCTTCGCATTCCAGGATTTCTTAAGCCTTGGATGAGTGGAATGTACGGCTTAAAGTTCTCAATCTTTTCCTTTACCTCCATGGCAACTTCTTGGCAAGCAGGGATCTCTTTGAAATGTTTGACGCACTTGAAGATCGTCTTGAACGCATTACTCACATTCTGTTCCAGTTGTTCGGCGTCGATTGTTGTAAGTGGATCGTTCATCCAGCTGTCGTACCATTTCTGCCAGTCGGAAGCTGTAAGCCACATATTTTTAAAAGGCTCGAAGTCTTTGATCAAACGGCCAAGCTTATCGTACTGTAGAGAGTTACATAGATGTACAGGTTAGTAGCACGTACAGGCGACGATTCGCGCGCGTGTGGAGGGTTTGTAAGAGCTTTTAAGCTTTTAAAACCTATTCCCCTCTTTCCCAAGAGGAACAATCTGACAGTGTTTCAGTTTAGAGACTGTGCATGTGTTATGGAACCGCATAACACCCAACTACCAGTCGCATGAGTGGTTATTATCTTAGTCAGGTTCCAAACTGTTGACTGTGGCCAACGGCTACAGTACGTGTATGTTAATTTTATTGAATCAGGAAAGAAAGATACTTCACAATTTTCAAGCGTTAAGACAAGGGTAAATACGAGTCTCAGTGAATACTCAAACCTTAGCTATTCAGTCAGGTTTATCAGTCTGATAAATGTTCTAAAAATGAAGTAAAGAACAACCCTTTAACGAGCTGGGCTGAAGTCCATATGTGGCAAGCGTCCTTCTTAACACTATAATCAGCAGTATCAAAGCATCTTGTGCGAAAAAGGAGTAAGACATGAGGTAAAATATGCCATTTTCCTCACTCTGTCTCCCCACAGGAAACTTAAATATAAATGTGAAGAATTTTCACAACGAGAAGATATAATAAAAATATTGGTAATATTGAGTTATGAAATTAGTATAGAACTTTAAACTCTAAACTCTAAACTCTGATCAGTGGTAACCGCAGTAATGAAATGTATTATTGAGGAAGATAAGAGCGAATAGAAAAGTATTCTAAGAAGATGCTTGTGAGAATAATACAAGACTGAAGGAGGAAGGGGGTCGAGCAATATGGCGATCGGAGTACTGAGCACTCGTTCTCTAAGAAAATGCACATGCTATGCAGTGTAACACGTTGGTTGAAAAAAATGATCACGGAATGTGGAAAGTGAATTGGTATTTGCATTTTATGGCGTCGTAATTCGCGTACGTGTACTCATTGGTCACGTGATATCTAGCTGCCTGGAAACTTTGTTGTGTGAAGCACTGAAAACAAACAAACAAACAAACAAACAAGCGAACCGTGACTTACAGATGTGACAGGTAGCCCAAACAGCCTCTCTCTGTTGTTGTAGGTGGTGGCAAGCGTCTGGCATTCCTTGAGCTGTTTAGTCAGACGTCGCACCTCATTCGCCACCTCATGTGATTTACTGAGATCCGTGTGAGCAGCAAATCCTGCTACAGCCATATTCAGCGAATCCAGTCTGTCTTGGAAGGTGTTCTGATCTGCTAGCAGATTCTTCTGGAATCTCTCCTCGTCTGCTTCAAGGTTTGCTTCGGTCGCCTCCATCTGCAGCTGGATTTTATGAGGCCAACCGATACAAGTCCACCTGAAAGAAAACAAAGGCCGTTCTTACCGCCTTATGAAAATAAGTACTCAAAGAGAATATTACATACAATTAAAAGAACTCCTCAGGCCCGCGAGGTGAGAGTAACTCGAGAGTCTTTGAGAGGGAGCTTATTCATCCCGACTTTCACGAGTGCAGGTGGGTACATTCAAGAGCAAATCTTCTCATAGAGGAAAGAGCAATGGAAGATACGCGTAAGGGTAAAGATGTATGGGCGCTCTTTAGTTCAGCTTAAGAATACTTACTTGGCATTAAAATCCTCCGCTGAGATATTGTAATTAAATTCCTCAATCAGTTCGTAGTCGATCATGGCCTTATCGATCAGTTCCTGATTCTTCTTCAGCTGTTCTGGAATCTGCTTCATATACTCTCTTTGTTCTGCTAGTTCTTCAATGCTGTTTGGTTTGTCGTACAACTGTCGTGCAATAGTTTTGAACTCCTCACAGACCTGGACAACAAAATTGACTCACTGGATTATTTGTTTGTTGGCTTGATAGCAGGTTAAGTAAGGTTCTTAATGAACAGGTGAAAAGTGCCAGCACGATCGTCGATAAAGGTCTACACCCAATAGACGAAAAAATCGTTAACGAATCGTTTTTGAAACTTCAATCATTTTATAATAATTCCATAAAACATCAAACATTAACTTAAAACGAGACTAATTATGTAATGAGCTCGGCTTCTTGAGGTAATTTTATGAGTGGGCGAGTTGGCGTGGGCGAGCTGGTTCGTGGGCGACTTGATCGGATACCTTTCATAGACAGACAGTAAAGACGCCGAAGGTTATGTGATTTTGTTGGTAAAATAGCGTGAGTTTGTTTCAGTCGACGGTTATGGTGTCTTTAAGTACATCTTGTCTTACATCTACTGTTTGTTCTTATAATTTATTTAAAAGAAAAAACAAGTTAACATTGGCTCTTTGACGAAAAGGTAGGTAATAACCAAAAAAGAATTGCCCAGACTGAAAAGTGACAAGCGAATGTAACCCACCATATCTGCTTGTTTACGAAGTTTCTTGGCCAACAGTTCAATAACAGCATTAGCCAGAGCTTTTCGTTTCTTTGCAAGCGCCTGTCTGACTCCTTCCGTAGAGATCCAGTACGGACCAATCACTATGCTCGATGGCAGAGAGTTCTCCAAAGTCTCTTTATCTTTGAGATGTCGTTCAATCTCTTGTTTCACTTCTGATGCAGATCGTTCTTGTGAATCGTATTCCCTGCAAAAATTTGAGTGTAACAAAGTCAGCAAAGCTCAGAGAGTAACCTTTCCGTTGAAAAACGTGTCTGTACGTTTTATTGGCCCTCGTTTTCGTACATGTAGGCCATTACAAAAGAAATAGTCTGAACCAGGGAGCAACCAACAAAGATCATCAAAATGTTTCTGTAAGAGTCATAGCCAATCTACCCACGAAATGTTTTCATCTTTCATTTTTTTTTCCCGAACTACCATTATTCAGACAATCACACTACACAATCAACCGGAGACCAATACACAGATACATGTACATCTCCGGTTAGTAATATAAAATTTTAACTTTATACAACAACTGAAACTTGTACATGTATATATTTTTTTTCAATCAAAGCTTGAGTGAGCACCACTTTAAGAGTTGAACATCTACATGTACAACCGTTGGTTACCGCACTGCCGAGGCTCTATAGTTGATTAGGGTGTGTATTGTACATTCTATATCATACACTTGAACTAGTCCCAGGGCACAAGTTCTGGATTCGCTCAGTCATACTGAAATGTACCGTTAACATGCAATTTATAGAGACCAAGCCAGAAGCACATAACCGAAAAACGTGCGAAGGTTTTGCGTGTGCGTTGGCCATCTGCTTTTGGACCAAGCATAACCCATATTTTCCTATAATATGGGAAAAGTTACCCACTTTAGAAACCTTTAAATGAAGCTACAAAGTTGTACATGTAGCCTGAAGAACGAGCGGATTAGCGGGGCTGAAGCGTGATACACGAACGCGCGCAAAGCGTGAGACAAAGATCTTCTTTGCCTCGCGCTTCGAGTGCGCATTCATGTATCGCGCTTCGGCCCCGCTAATCCGCCGGTTCTGCAGGCTACTGTTCATGTATCTGCATCTCCCATGTGCTGTATGCTGCAGTTTAAAACAAAGCTACTCACTCTAGATATTGATTTATATCCATATTGTACAGCTCCAAGTACTTTTCATATTGCTTGGCATAAGCTCTCAGTGGAATAAGTGACTTTTTGATCGCCTGTCGTACAGTTTCTCTTAGTTTCACCACCTCTGGTTCATTCTCACCAACAGACTCAAGCAGAGGTGTTCCACTCCAGAATAAGCCTTCAATCACCATCTTCTCCAGTTGTGGGACATTCTTTGTACATGTGATGCCCTTGTCGAACAGTGCAATCACCACACGGCCAAAGCTCTCCAGATCAGTGTTGTACTGAACTCCTGTCTTCTCCATTGTTAGGTCCAGCATGAACAAGGCATTCTTTTTAGGTCTGATTGTTATTTGAAGAAGGATCATTAGTTTTCCTTGATTAGAGTTTCAGCTCCTTGACATTATGAAGTACCATTACATGCTTCATTCCTACTTTTATTGAGAAAACTCAGTGCCTCTGCTCACCCAAAAAACAATATATCAGACAATTATACAAAAACAAGTACACATAGTAGATCTTTTCAAAAGTGCCACCATGTTACACAACATGGAACTTCCATGAGAATTATTTATCACTTTATCACAACAGAAACATAAAAAGTTCACTCCTGTAAGTTTCAATCTACTTCTGACTTGTTACTTTTCCAAAAAACAATTATCTTCATCAAAATCTTACACTTGAAACTTTCTTCAAAAAGCCATACATGTAGTTAAGACTTGTGTATAAACATGTGCAATTATTGACATCAAATGACATGAGTACTTACTTGTAATTACTGTTTATGATGTCTTCACCCCAATCAAAGTCTTCCCCTAGGTCCATTACACTGTAGGTGGCATCCAGGATCATCTGAGTAAAAGCTGCCAAGGAATCCTGTACCAAGTAACGCAGTGAATCCTAGTAGAAAAAAATCACATAGATTGCCATAAGGAGACTGGAATATTGCCAAACATGAGGGAGAGACTACCTGTACACTGTTTGTAGTTTTTTCTAGACTGCACATGAAGTAGGATGCACTCCAAGACAAGTACAACAAAAACTTGCAAGGAGGATTAGGGCAGGGTACACCAAGTAATTTTGGTTGCCCACAGTGTAAGAGTCAGAAGTTGATAAACTGTTATAATTTTAACTACAGTCTTTTCAGTTTCTCCAATCTACATGTATCACATTTCCAAGTCAGAAGACACATCTTAAACATTATCAGTATTCATTTATGTATTCAAAGAGGATGCAAAATTTGTTCACTGCACCTGCATGGCAAATTTCACCAACTGCATAAATTTGGCCAACTTAGAGATTTGGTAAACCTCCCAGTTTCTTTCCTCCATGTTAAACCATCCCTTTCCCACATCCAAAAGGCTGCTGCGGATAGCTGTTCTGAGGGTGTTTAACCAGCTATCCCGCAAAAATATTTGTACCTGAAATTTAATAAACAATGGTGGCAAAAAAATGCATGATCAGTTAAAACCATAGATAATATCTAATTGTCTCAAATTTATGCATTAACAAAAGCTTATATACAGTAAATTCAAATTGGAAATCATTGATCTTTTGATTACCTTATGGGTTTTCAAATAATTTGGGAAACATTTTGTGAAATAGATCTTAGCTACTGTAGGGCATGTTTACCTACTACAAGCTTAGCTGTACTTGTACAATTTGTAGTAAATAGTAGTATTGCTGGTGCTGTTCACATATTTTGGTTAACTCTCTGCACCATCTGTAAATACATCCAATTGCTTGATCACACAAGTTAAACACAAAGAGACTTCTTTACCTGTGTGCTGACTTGGGCTTGTGTTTGCTCAAATTCTTCCAGTTTCATACTTTTTGACACAGGAACCTGGAACACTGACATGCTAGCAACTTTGTTGCATTCAGTTCTCACTTTAGCCATAGCCACTATGGCTTCCTCTCTGGTCAGCAAACAGTTGAAAGCAAAGTCATCAAACTTCTCATCAAAGGGATATAAAGGAACATCTGGGTGGAATCCTTGCAGCCAAAGCAAAAAACCAAATTTTAATGAGCAGAAAAAAATTCTTAATAGACTCATTAATTAACCAAGGTTGAGAATTCATGGAGTCCAATTAAAGTGGCACAAGTTGGTACATACAGTTAAATCCTTTTTACAAGACCACTCGGTCACTAAGAAAACTGTAATCTCAAAACCATAATCTGATTACCAAAGACTACTGCTTTTAGTTTAGTTTTTTTTTCATGCCTCAGAGTAGCTTTTTCCATGGAACAAAACCACATTCCATAAATATTTAAGGTGCTCACAGTTTTCTGACCTTAGCAGTAAAAATAAACTTTTTGTTTGAAGGCATATTAACTGAAACCCCAATTCTTAGATTTAAATGTCCTTCTCATAACAAGCTTAATTCACATGTTCCAACTTTTAAGTCACCCACTCCTTCTCTCTACAAGAAGAGATTTATTCTGATGACACCTGTTTGGTGAGTCAAAAGAAGTCAGATGAGTGCTTTTACATCAGGTTTACCAAGTTAATCAAGACTTTGCATGCCATTTGAATTAATGGAAAAGAAATTACTTGCAGTGTATAAAACCTGGTGGAAATGGGTTCAAAGTCTGATCTTGTTTTCCAACCCCTTCTGGCTAAAATTAAAGTTGGAGTTTCAACTTTTTTTCCTCCTCCCATCCATTTTACTTACTAAGTTAAATGCAAAATGACGTATATGAATGAATTCTACAACTAGAACATTTAAAACCTTTATAGTGTACCTCGTTCAGGAATCACCTCTTCCTCCTCTTGAGGAAGAGTTACAAAGGGATATGTTTCTGGTTTACTATTGACTATCCTGTCAAATGTGATCCTGTTCATGCTGCGTGAGAAGTCTACTTGGATTTCTTTAGACAGTAAGTGCACATGTTCATCCAAGCTGTATAAATAACAATCATTAAAAAATGCTGATTGGTTTAAATGAACAATAACTTTTAATCTCACTTGTGGGAGGCAAGGTGACATAATCATTAGCAACTTTGACTCTGGAATAAATGACCTTAGGTTTGATAATTGGCCGGGGGAATGTTTTATGTGTTGCTTAGAGAGACTCTTCTTTCTGACATGCCTCTTCCCAACCAGGAATTTAAATGAATCCCTATAGGCACTGGCTCAATGCTTGGGAGTACTGTGTAGGAATAAGGGGGAAAGTAACTCATGATCATCACAATCTTAATGAAGAAGATGTATGTTCATGGTCCCACAGCTTTACTTAGCCTAACCAACACTGTATACATGCATAAAGATAAATAGTTGTAGCTGTATCACACTAGAGAATCTTGACTTCCAGGCCAAAAGTGAGTCACTATGGGCTAATGCATTTGTATTCCCATGCAAATAAGCTGTTCAATTTTCAGTATGAAGATGGGTGGTAAACTTAAAACATGCATGTACAGTATGTAGATGTTTAGTGCTGGAACTTTCCTGCCCAAAGATTGGAAAAAATTACGCTTAAATGAAGATCAATCAAGTACCTCTTGTCACTCTTCAGTGTTCTAGTTCCTTTAGCCCAGGTGATCATTCTTTCCAATGAGCTGGGATCAAGCCTGACCACTCCATCCATAGGCATGCAATCAACATACAGATTGTACCTGAGCAAAGCCTCTGTTTCACAACGCAGGGCATATGCCTTGGCTACTCTTTCAGCAAAGTTTATTGGATCCTCAGCAGCAAACAATAGCTGTATTCGTGGAACCCAAAACTGTGCACCTTCAACTTTGGAACGTTTCCTTTTTGGTTCCTCATTGCCATGTGCTTCACCATTCACTGTGCCATTTTCCACCACTCCATTTGCTGCTGGGATAACATTGTGCTGGAGGCCTCCTGTACCAACAACTTGCACCAAAAACAACTGTTTCATGTCATCATAATCTAGTGAACCAACATCTGTCCATGCATATCCTTTGCCATTTTTCCCTCTCTCTCTCAACAATAGTGCTTTTCCTGGTACTGGATGTTGTTTACCATCAACTAAGCCTAGTTCCAACCACTCATTTGGGTTGCGGCAATCAAATTCTGTGTCATCAAATATGTGAAGAGGTAAGAAGGCAGGAAATGGGGCAGCATCAGGTCCTGTGAGATTAACTCTCATGTTGTAGTCTCCTTTGGGCATAAGCTCAGATGTCTTGACTCCAAGCTCTTCCAGTAGTGTGTTAATATCTTGCTTGGAAAATATGCGCTTTTGTCTGTGAAGGGATGTAAGGTACCATATCCATCATAAGGATATTTCATTTCATTTGTGTATAAATGTAATTTTATTTGTGCATAAAAAAAAATATATTCTATTCTTTAATTTATCAAAACAGGCAACAATTAGCTGGTAGTCTCCTCAATGAGAAGTATTTAATATTTAAAAACACATGCCCTTGTTGCACATCTCTATACCTTGCATCAATCCTTTCCCATAACCCAATTTCTCCAAGGAAAAATTGGAAATTTTGTAACTTATTAAACAATGAGCAACATACAGTAAACTTGATGAATACACATAAAAAGAAAAGTATGTATATAAAGTCAGTCTGCATGATTGTAAAAACTACAGCCTACACCATATGACATGAAAGTAAATTAGCAAAAAAAAGGAGGAAACTAACCTTTCAATTTCGATTTTTCTAGGAACTTGGCCTGGCTCTGCCTTGTATGGGAGTTGCACCTTGGGCTCCCAAGATTTTTCAGGAAAGTCCTGCAGAAAAAAACATAAGTGTACATGTATTGAAACATAGAGGATATAAATCTCTGGGACACCATTGTGGTAAGAGAGACACGAGGATGTCCAGCAACTGCCAATCTTGAACAAAGCAATCAATACTTACAGAAACTGTAATGGGTGCTGTAGTTGGTCCATGAACTTGATCCTTTAGGAGAGAACTCAGTGCTTGAGAAGACATAGGTCCCTTGAACGTTTGAACTGAAAAGGTGATCATAGCATTCACATGTGCATGGAATGAACAATTTACCAGGTATACAGTAAAAAATTATCAGTAAGGTGACAAGAACTTAAAAATAATGGCATACCGAATGGACAAAATTGACCTGCTTCCTTAGTGGATAAAACAGTGAGATACCACTGAAGGAATGTTAAGTGTAAAGCATTACTAAAAGTTATTACCTTCCGGCATATGCTTCACTTTTGCAGTTTTCCATAATGTACTTCTGGAGGCTGCTGGACCACCAGTAATACTCTGTTTTCAAAAAGTCATCGAAATTAGGACTCCTATCCAGAATATCAAAGTATGCAGTTCATCCTAAAACATCAGTTACCGCATCTAATCTTAAATTGTTTAGAAACCGTGTAATTTGAGCTCAAAGGCAAATTTGAACCCGTTCCTTGTAAAATTTAATTGTTGCTTTAATCTGTCAGTGAGTAGTTTTCCATGCATGTGAAAAGAAAAAGTGTAGCACAGAAAGGGAGGGAGCATTATGAATTGAACGCCCGTGTGCAAAATGTACATGTATGTAACTGGAATCAGAAAATCGACTTTCGTCATATTAAAAACTTATTCCAAGTTTCACTTATTCTTCTCACTTTGGATGTTGCATAAACTGATTATGCATAAGTCTGCATGATCCTTCAAACTTACCCCAAGCTCTACTTTTGATCCTTCTCCTAGAATATCGGAGTAATAACCTCTTTGTCGTATCGTAGGATAACTTAATCCTCCCGAAGAAGGCGACTTCGGAGTCCCAGGCGAAGTTCGTCTGCCATTTCTGGAGCTTCCTTGCCTGTTGGCGCTCATAATGACTCGATTAGTTCAGTGACCCTCACTTTGTCCTCGAATTTTCTTCCAAGAAGAAGAAAATACTCAAAAGAGAATACAGTTGCAGATTTTGACAAATCTAATAACACTTCAGCGTACAATTAGCCGCCATATTGTTTCGTAAAACTTTTTATTGCAAGTTCCTATGACAACAAATGTTGGCGGGATGGTTCAACAACTTCGGATAACTTCGGTCCTTTTTTCCGAACTTTTCCGATAACACCAATACAAAGGCCCGGATGTGCAGATTTTCAAGATGGCGGCCAGAGAGGGTTTGCGTTTAGGTCAAGCTCTTCTTCGCCGTGCGGCATTTAGACCACAGACTTTGATAGGGATTAGAAAAGGTAATTTTTTGATGACTTATCACACAATTGGTCTGATTTGGTTTATGGCTTATGCCAGAATTTCCTGAATTTTCACTTGAAATAAACACATTTGTTCATATAAATATATATGTATATATATTGCAGGCGTGTCAACAGAACATCATTTAAACTTAAAATAGTGAAGCGTAGATCGGATCACCGGGAGATGATCACAAATCTATTCTTTCGGTTTTCAAACAACTTCAAGGCTCGTACGTTTTTATCTACGTGGAAAGTTTCTACGTCGTTAATATTGTTTTGTCGGATCCGGAGCAACGATCAAATACAGGATCGCTTTTATATGAAGCTGTATCACTGTTGTTTCTGCTTGGCTTCTCAGTTAAGAGATTAGTGGAGATAAGCGTCGACATAAGATTTTGGGGTAGTTTACGTGAAGAGAAGTTATGGACTATGATGAAGCTTTGGTGTTACAGTCTTGCATGTAGTTTGGAAGTAAACTTATTCTAAAAGAGCCCTGCATATCCTTTACATGAAGATTTGTAGTTTGCCAGTTCTCGTTAAATAGACCAATGTTGACAGTTTAAAACTTAGTTTTACTCAACAAGGGTCACCCTGCAGCTCTGTGGAGTAAACAAACCATCAAATTTGTGAGACTTACCACAAATGATCTTTTGCTGTTTTTAAATGTAAATATTGGTCTTTGAGATGAGATGAAATTTTTACCTCCATCTCACATAATTGACTTCATCAACTATTTTTGAAAGTTCTAGCCATTCTATTCATACTCTTGTCAAGCAGACAACTGAGTTGACTAGATAATTTCCTTAAGTCTTGGAATGCATCAAAAGCTTGAGAATTTGATTAGTTTGTTAATCATTTTCTGTGAAAAGAGAAAAGTTTCCTTCCTATTTATCTATTCATTTATGAATTTACTTTCCATTGTGCAGCCAGTGATGATCATATAAAGTATCCTATCCCAACTCCGGAGAATGATTGGAAAAATTTTCATCGTCCATGGCCAGATGATGGGTATGCCCTGGGGGATTATCCTAACCTCCCAGAGATTTGCAATCAGAGAAGACAACATTTAGGATGGTGGGATGTTCAAGAACGTAGAAACTACAATGAGCCAGTGAGTGTCTTGACACTAGTACAAACGATACCATAATCATGTTGTTTTAACCTCTGTCAGTGTTATTTAACATGGTATATGTAGTTTTTGGTAGTGCTTTGTAATTCTTGTTGTAACTTAAAATTTATTCTTCAATGGTGGACACATGTAATCTTAAAATAAAATCTATACCTATATAAATGTATTCCTTGTTCTATTACTTTTTTTTCTCTTTTGTTCTAAATTGTTTATCTTCCTTTAAAATTCTTGTATGGAAGAAAGGGATGCGAAAAAAGGGGTGAGATGAATTTGAATAACAACTGTACAGATGGAGTGGTACTGCCACAATAGCTTGTCAATATATAATTATACTACAAATGAAAATCAAAAACTTATGGAAAAGATTTCTGATAATGTAAACCTTGGGTCATGTATGTAACTGTTACTCCTTTTGGATTGTTGAACTGGTTTGAACCCTTAAGTTGAGAAGATTTTTCAAGTTATTAAATGTTTCTCTTAATTTCCATAGATACATATGGATGAAGATGCACTTAATGTTTGGGTGTGGAGTGAGGTGACATGTAATGACAGATACACACCGTAAGTATAGTCTCAGTAATTTTCCAGCGCTTAAAGCTGTAAATTGACTTCCAGAACCATTGAGGGGTTTCAGGGGTTTTGAAGGGGTGTTACAGCTGTATTTGTTGCCTCATACCATTGAAATGAAGGGTTGTATTAAGGATTTTGGTACCTGGGATTATCAGTCATTTGTTTACATTGATGAAACAAATCATTAAATTTCTTGTTCCTAATAAAAATCTTCAGGGGTGAAATTCTGATGCAGTTGGGTATTGCCACAGCCACTCTTTGCTTTGTTGGATACCTCTCTTACCTCTATGATCAAACAGACAGAAACCCTGCGGTAAGAGGCTATTGTAATCACACGATTTTGGTGTGGTTTAAAATGCTTTTTAATTTTATTTAATTGCTTTTGCTCGAGGATTATACCTGGAGTTCTAAACCAAAAGATTAAATATTTGAAAGTAATCACAATCAACAAGTACAATAGGTTCACTCCAGAAATACTGGCAATTTTATTTTATATTTTTGCAATTAAAAATATATATTTATATATACATATCTATGAGACTGATTGGAACACTTTAGTATATCCTGAACTAGTTTGTGGAACAAACTCTTGATCTTTTGATCAAGAGGGTGACCAACATCTAATTTCTTCTTACTAAATCACCCTGGAAATACACACAGAGAACAAGGGAAATGGTCTCCAATTAAGAAGCTCATAAGTTTTAAAACAAATTTCCCTTGTCATTACCATAGAAAATATGTTGAGAACAGCATGGAGGGTGGAAAGGGTTAAAAGCATCACTCACTATTTTTTCACCCCTATGGAAAGGCAAAGTCTGAAATTTCACAGTCTGATATTTTTAAGATCTTAAAGCATTTGGACAGTTTGTCTGCAGTGTGATTGTTGTGGTTTAAATGTTTCCTTGGTTTACACATTTTAAAACCAGTTAAATTTTTTTTAATTTCCTTTCTTCTCAAATTATGCTGATTTATGAAAGCAATTGAAAACTCAAATTAGCTGGAAAAATTTAGAACCAAAGAAATATTTGAATCAAAACATTTACATACATAGGTGCAAGTGATTTTCTTTGAAGGATTATCACAGATTCATTCTGTTCATGTATGTGTGTGGACAATCTTACTACAGTCACAAATTTCTCTCTCTATTGGCTGCAGATTATCATTGCACATGGATTTAGATGAAAGTAGTAACCCTAACTTAAAATAGTTCTGTTTGATAATTTTGGAATATTTTATATTTCAGGTTCCAAAGGAATACCCTTTTAACAATCTGTACCTTGAGCGAGGAGGGGACCCAGATAAAGACCCAAGTGAGGAAGTCTTGCATCCAGACCAGAGAGTCATTCCACGTAATCTGTATGGATCTTAATGCATTTTCACTGGTCTCTAAACAGTTCTGATCTCAAATCCATCAAAATGTAATTCATGTTATCTTCAGTGTTTTTTTCCCTTGCATTTTGTGTACAAGAGTGTGAAGAATGTGTCTTTATTGCAGATGTATATTACATTAAATTTTGATATGTTGTATGAAAAAGATTGTTCATTGGGTACTTGGTAGTTTTGTTAATGTAAATAATATATTTTAACTCTTTCATTCCCAAGATCTCGGTAGTAATTTTCCTTACTGTCTACCATACAATTCTTTCATGTGAGTTTGAGGAACTTGGTTTTAGACGAAAGTTTGAGGAATTTGGTTTTAGATCAACTAATAAACCCCCAATTAATATATTTCTTTATTCTCATCACTTGTCTGCTTAATGTTACATTGATATTGGAAGGAGAAATTCTGTCTTGGTCACTTATGTGAGGTAAAAAGTTAAAGGGACTGGAGGATTATGGTTTATGTCGTATGTACAACACTTTCACCCTGATAGAAAATGAAATTCAGTATTTCTGTCAAGGTATTATCCTTTGCAAATTTCAAATTCATTCAAACCGTTTGCCAGGGATTGTGAAAGAAAAATAAGTAAAAATTGGAAAGCAAAACAAACAAACAAAAAGAATATCATAAACGCTCAGCATTTCCTAAAATTTAAGGAAAATTTATATGAATGAGACCTACTTCAATTCAAGCTCTCGAGCGGCAGAACGTATTTGAAATAAAAAACTTTACTTCTCTCCAGATATCTTGCTTTAAAAAACTGTATATGAATGGATCAAATGCCGAGTTGCATATGAATAGTAGCCTCTGTATCCTCACTAAATCCGTTGGAATGTGATTGTTCCAATGAAATGTAATGCAGAGGAGTCGGGCGATGTCAATCGCGTAACATATGGAAAAGATGGCCACTATGATTCCAAGAGCTTTGGAAAAGGTGCTTGCTTTACCTTGTGATCCACTGGTCCTGATATCATCGAAAGCGAAGCCGTTGAAAATCAACTGGGAGAGAAGAATTCTCTGACGTCTGTTTTGTCTGTATGTTATATATAATGTCCTTGAACAAGCTGTAACTAATAGGAGGCATGAAGGAAGTTTATACGCGAAGAGCCAGACGGCACAAAAAATGTCGTAAACAGCGTGCAATTTCAAATAGCACACAACTGTATATGGCACGAAATGAATAGCAAACGGTATGAGCCACGCTGCTGATAGAAAGAACAAGTGTCGTCCCTTAGCCTTGAAAGTAGCATACTTCAAGGGAGTAACAATCGCCATATACCGATCAACTGTTAGTGCACAGAGATTTGTCATGGATAAATCGAGGAACAACCATCGTACTGCTTTCGCTACGCACTTTCCACAAAGAGAAGCAGAGCTACAGGCTAGAAAAGGAAAGTATATCAATCCTACACTAAAATCGGCCGCAGCGAGCGAAAATAAAAACCAGTTGATTGTGCTACGAAGGCGCTTTCTTGAAATAATGAGATACATTACCAAACCGTTTCCAAGGACGGCTAATATCGAGAAAATCCCTCCAATAACCCAAAACCAAACAGGACTTGTAAGATCCATCTTATTCATACGACTTCGAAGTAATTTTATCATTCTGATGATGAATCACAATGACTTTATAGAAAAAGACTCCTTTGCGCATGCGAAAAGGAGTCTGAAATTAGGTAACATTATTTTAATGAATTTCTACTCTAAGGTAAATATTGGATTGTGCGTGCTCTAATTGGTCAAATGAGGGGCAACGTCATTTCCATTGATATCACTCTAGACAATGTGTCAAAAAAAATGAAAATGAAAGAAAATGTCGTCGCTCAGATTACCGCCTGAGTATTTATTAAATTAACTTTATTTGTTCTGCCGTGCACTGTGAATGTTTGATAGATAAATGCCGGCCCTTTGGCGAAGTGAAAATCGTCGCACAATTCTCGTCGGACGAACTAGACTGCAATAGTGGATTTTTCGACAATGATCACTTCGGTTCACTAACTATTTTGAGGATGAATGACTATTCTATTCTGAAGACAGGTCAAATTTAGTGCGCTTTCAGTTTCAGTTTCGTAGATTCTAATATTAATTTACCAGGTAGTCCTTGAGTAACAAGAGCTACCATAACAGTCACAAAGCTTAGTTATCGTTGTCATCATCACCGTTTTAATACACAATTCAAAATGCAAATCTTCAAAATGACACACACAAAGAAATTGTGTTTTAAAGTACAGTTAAAGAAATGTTGTTTTATAGTACAGATGAGTTTCATTACTAAAAGCTTCATTGACGTTCATTACAATGTATTTTGGGCAATTCTTAGTGAAGTTAAATGTCAAGCCACCGGTTAAAAACATGTCAGTAATAATACTGCTGGGTTTTCTATAATGATTTCGAAGGGAAAGCATTCAATCATGCTATTTATAAACGAAAATTTATGTTTACACTAATGATTCATGCAATACAGGTAAATTTAGGTTTCTTAAAGCAATTTAGGCCCATCAAAGAATTACGAAGTCAATAATAGTAATAGTCTTGAGAATAACATAAGTAATCTAAAGCCATCTAAACAAGAGTTTGAGCTCACATCGAATGTCGTGCTTAAGGAAACTGTAAACGAATGGATTGCTCGCGGAATTACATATGAGCAGTATCCTCTGCACATACACCAAATTCCATGGAATATGATTGATGCATTTAAATGAAAAACAGAGAAGACGAGCCATGTCAATAGCGTAACAAGTAAGAAAGACGGCGACTATGATTCCAAGAGCTTTGGAGAAAGCGGTTGCTCGACTCTGTGATCTGTCGCACTTTGAATCATCAAAAGAAAAGCCATTGAACGTAAGCTGAGAGAGACGAATACTAAAGCGTTTCTTCTGCCTGTGTGCCACGTATAAAGTTCTAAAACAAACTGTAAACAATAGGAGATAGAGCGGAAGTTTGAAGGCGAATAATACAACCGCATAAAATATGTTAAGTGAAGTATACATCTCGGTACAGTACATCCACGTAAATGGCACAAAATGAACGACAAAAGGTAAAGTCCATGCTGCTGATATAAAAAACACGTGGCGTCTTTTAGCCTTAAGCTTTACATACTTTAGTGGAGTAACAATCGCCATGTACCGATCAACTGTTAGCGCACAGAGGTTAGTCATGGATAAATTGAGGAACAACCATCGTATCGCCATTGTTACACACTTGCTACAAACGGACGCAGACTCACAAGCCATACTTGGAAGGTAAGTTAATCCTACACTAAGATCAGCTGCAGCAAGAGAAAATAAGAACCAATTGATTGTGCTACGAAGCCGCTTCCTTGAAATAATGAGATACATCACCAAACTGTTTCCAAGGACAGTTAATATCGAGAAAAATCCGCCAAAAACCCAAAACAAAACGTCTCCAACAGACTCCATGATACTTTTAGTAAGATTTCTAGAATGATAACTTCAGTGTAATGCTTGGTCTGAAATGGTGGCTCTACATAGAAGTACCAAGAGGGAATTCGGTGACGTGCCTCTAATGACATTAATGGCGCGTCCGGCTATAATCACATTGTTTTTAATCAAGCGTCATTTTTTTATCTCCATGCATATGGCACATTTCTAAGAAATTCATATTCCCCCACTAGAAGACCAAGCACTTAGCTGTTGGAAATTTCCGTGATAAATGACAAAATAGAGATAGACAAGTCCAAATATTGATCATCCAAAACTTTGGGAAGTAATGATCAATAGAATCAGCCAGTTGCTTCACTGGAAATGCTTGAAAGAAACATAACTCTTCATGTTTGATTTGTTGATGGGTAAAGAACAGCAGTGGTTTTTTTTTCAGGAAAAAAGCCTTTAAATTTCTTTCTTCTTACACTGAAATAACTTTCCCTTCTTATCGCTTCGCATAAATAATTAATTCATGAATCCACTGCGTGCAAAAAGTGGAAGAAGATCCTGCGCGATAACTTCATTTGAGCACGGGAAGTTTTCTTGAGAGCAGATTTGCAAGTTTCTGTCTTTGATGGAGCTATGATGAAGAAAGAGGACCTCCGTAAATGAACGATCGCGCAAAAATTAAGGACCTCTCTATGAGTGTGTTGATACATAAGACAAACCATGGAAAAACAGGGTAAGAAATCAACGACGGTTACATAAACAAAGCATACGATGGTCTCGTGCCTAAACCTTCTACGGCCAAGCGATGGTAAGTTCCCTACATTTCGGTTACACGGTAGGATCTGGGTACAAGATACGATGTCCGTTTCGCATACTGACTTTCTCTTACGAAAATTAAAAACCTCCATACCTTTATCGAGAGCCTTGTTCGCCTGTGAGTTGGAATAAAATACTAGCAAACAACGAGGAGATTGGCTTTTTCGATTAAAATAACTTAGGAAAGAAGAAACCACGAAGCAGAAGTCTAAAGAAACAGATTTCCCTTTGCGCTCGAAGCTAAAGAGAATTTGAATGAAATGGGCATATCCCGGCCGACGCCCTGATTGACCCTCTCTATCCCCTTACCTTCTCGTCTCTATGCACAACATCTGTATTAAATGAAAATCATCAAAGTTTGATTTTGAACATGTAAAGAAGAAATTCCTTTATTGCGCGTTCACTTAGCCTGAGAGAGACTAAAGGGGTTTAGGAAATTCGAGACGAATTATCAACTGCTTCTCGAGTTTGGATAACTTTTAAGAAATTCTTCCTGCGACCTAGGAGTGAAAAGATGATGCGATGGAGAAAATCTCCTCCTATGGGTTTGAAAGATCATTCAAAACTACGTGCAAATCTAACGTCATACTCTTTTTACAAACTCACATCTAAATACAACTTTCGACTGATGAGAGCGCTCGCAATATTCTCAATTATTTGATAATAAAAACATTCGAATAAAATATCTTCGTAAACCGAAGAATAAGAATAAATGGGTGACCTCATATTACCGCGTGGTACTCCTCGTTTTCCTCCTTCTGTCCAGTTTTTTCAATGAGCAACTTCTGGTAACCTAAAAAGTTTGTTGACTGTTGTAGCCAGAACACAAATAGAGAGAGCCAGATGATGCTTTGTAAAAAAACCTTCAAGTATTAATTATACTGAAAGATCTCCAGAAATTAGCTTGAAAACTGATCAATTTGTGGCAGCACATAAGTCACTCATCAAGCCATTTGATTCCCGCCTTTCGTTAGGAAAAAATGAATAAAGCTTCTTTGAAAAAGTTTTCTTTAAAAATCCCTTAAGATGTTCGAAGTATCGCTACCTTCTTAAACTTGAAGGAAGCGTTCGGACAAACCCAGGGGGAGGTTTTTCTTATTGTCAATACTTTCCCTTTTTTCTGAGGCCTTTTAGCTCCTGGAATAGTCTGTCTGTTGTAGAGAGATACTGCCATGATCAAGAATAAAGTACAATTTATATGTGCCGCAAAAGGTTGCTTAATGTACAAAATATATACATAGAGCATGGTCAAAACTTCACTCTTCTCCCTGATTGTTCAGTTTATCAAAAGTCAGTTTCATTCTTGACTTCTGAGTAAGATCAAGTTCATAGATTTTATTAAGTTTGACCATGAACACTTCTTATTTACACTCTCAGATACCTTTACCATTGTATCGTAACGGATACTGTTTTGCTTGATCAAAGTTTAAAAAGCTCTTTGAAGATCACTTTGAGTGAGAGAATAACTAATGAGTTTTTTAGTCCGTGCGGGAAAAGGATTAGATATCAACGTCATGTAATCAGTATTAAATGGCGAAAAAACGATGAAACAAAACACCTTATAACATATCAACTACCTTTTTCACGTTTTTGAAAAACGGCTCTGTGCATCAACTCCTCCATATCTATTGGACCCTATTCCAAGAGCCATTCTGTTTTCACCCGAAACTATTTTGATGGCCTCTCCTCCCCGATCCCCTTTAATCAGTGTTACCCAGCTAACATTGTGGTCGTCATTACATATTTAAATTCCTTATTTTAAAAAACACCGGAAAAGGGAACTTGGTCAGGACGTGACCAAAAATCATCTCACAAGAGAGGATAAAATGCACTTTAACTTGCCTTGGTTTTAACAAATTTCGAGTGTCGTGATGTTAATTTGCAATTATTTCCATCAAGTTTTATTCGAGAATGAGGATCGATAATATGGTTTCTGTGTTAAAAACTGTTGTCAAGTTTAATTTGCAAGATGGTGAACATTTGTCATCATAAATACCCTTTTCTTTCGTCAGTTAACAAAGAGTATCAAATATCGAATAACAAGACACACACACACAAAGAGCTTTCCACTAAATAAGATGATAAAGCTATAATGAATGGCGATAACTCGAGTAAACGAGTTTTTGAAAAGCCTTACAAACTTTGTATGTTTCCGAAGACGCGCACGGTAAAATACTTAAAAAATCATTTTTTTTCCTTGAACTTGTTAAATAAAGACCTAGAGCTGCTGACAGTTACAGTAGTCTATGGTAGTTTCTAGTTTTGTATGTGGAATTATTGTATGGTCACGCAAGTTTTTCATTTCCTTATCAGTTCAGTAGCATGGCGGAAAATTTGATCAAGGGAATATCGTGGCAAATGAGTTGTGGTCCTTAGTAGTAATTTTTGTAGCTTTGACAACTTCATTGATCTCAAAACTGGAGATATCTGATGGTTTAGACAAAGAAAGGAAGAATGATCTATTTGCGAGCTGCGATGACATCGAAGGGGACCGAAGTTGGAGAACTTGAATTTCATAAAAATTGTTCGCTCTTCTCAAACAACGGCAGCAAATGAAATTTTTAAAAATGTTTACAAATCTCTCAAAATTAATCATGATTGAGCCAAAAATAAAGGGGTTAACAAGAGAATTTGTGTAAGTGAGTATGTTACTAAACGTTGCCACTTTGTTAAATAAGCCGTAAGGATTCTCGGAGCCGTTGCCAAAATCGTGCCATAGCCAAGTAACATGTGTTGGTAACATGCAGATTGCAAACACAAGAACAGATATCACGAATGCTTTTACAACTGTGTAGTTTCTCTCCAATCTGTCATCGATGGATTCCTGTGAGAATGTTCTCGTTCCTCTTTGTCGTTTTACCTTTAAGGACCTCGTATCTTTTTGAAGCACGCAAACCGTGCAAGTGTAGAGTAAAGCCATGATACTCACAGGTATTAAGTAAAGAAGGATGAAAATGATGACAGTGAACATCTTGACAATATAAGCGTTTGGCCATTCTTCACTACATGAAGATCCTTTCAACTTCAGAACAAGCGATAGAGGTAGCACCATAAGGCAGGATAAAAACCATATAGCAGTTATGACAGTCAAACCAGTTTTAACTCGTATTCTTGGCTTCAGTGGTGTGACTATCAGTCTGTAACGCTCTACACACATAAATAACAGGGTCATGACGGAGACATAAACAAGTACGGATTGAAATGGATAAATGATGTGGCAAAGAACGGCTCCGTAAGGAAACTCGCCAGTCAACTGCTCTCCAATATCAAGAGGAATGCTTATTAGGCACGTCCCCGCGTCGGTGGTCGCCAAGTTCAGTATTAGATACTCATGGAGCTTTCTTGTCTTCAGTTTTAATATTTCTCTTAAAACAAGAAGATTTGCGGCGGATCCTAGAAGGGCAATCAAAATCAGGAGAGAAACTGCTACAGGTACCGTCTTTTCTTGTTGCTTTTCATTTGTCTGATGCACGTTTACAGTTGTGTTGTTGGAAAGAAGATTTACGTTATCCATTCCAAGAGGAGGCTCTGGCCCAAATAGAAATTTTTAAATGTACAGTTCAATGAAGTTTCAAATCAAACACGACACAAACACAAGATATTCCATCAAGACAGCCAGTACTTTCACTATATATGTACGGTAAGGTTCGGGGGCGTTTCACAAAAAGCTTTAAGTGTCACTTAATATTGTCGATATAACCTTGCTGATTATCTCTCACGGTTTCATTTCGCAGCTTTCGGATACACCTTGCCGGAAAGTGATATGATACTGGTTCCACTCAAGTAGATCCAATTTAAAAGATAGAATATAGAGTGATTGTGAATATAAGAAAATCATACATGTGAACTGCGGATAAAGACGTGATTATGAAAGCGATCTTCGCAGTAATGAACACTACTTGAGCAGCTGTGAAAATAAGGCCTGGAAAAAATTCAGGCCTGCATGGGATAGAGTGCTATACACAGAAAATATTATGACATTGCGTCTTCAGTTCTTATGCTAAATCAACGGTACCTGAGAAAAACTCAGAGACGACCTTGAGTATGAGGGTGTTCCCAATCAATTACTGCCTAGAACTTTCCTCTCGCTTACAAGTTGAGCCTGTTTTCTAGGAGAGCAATTTTTTTAAGAGGCGTGCTTTTTGTCTCTCATAATTTTTATAAATATCTTTCGGAGACGAGCAGGTTGATCGCTTGAATGCTACGTTTTATCAGTTTTGATTGACAAGCGTGGTTAAACAGGAAGGCTGCGGTGCAAATTACAGTTTCCCGAATTATCGATGTCAAACGCCTTGAGGTCACGTCTCGTCCTGTGGCCTCGACCAACGTCGGTTTTAAAAGCCATTTGTAATATCTATGAATACGAACTCAAGAAGATATGTACTGGGAACTTCTTTCGCCTCTCTGATAGCTATGATCTTAAAGATACTTTTCGTACCATTCTGCTGGTCACATGATAGCTTGTTGATGAACACGAAGTGCCTCTTTATACTTAAGTTTTGTGACACCTTATCTTCATGATTTTTGTAATCTATCACTGAAAAAGGCGTGTGTCGTAAACTTGTGCCCGTGCGAAAATTAAGTAAATAGCAGATATTTTAAGAGCTTTTATTATCGTTCAAAATCCATCCACTTCATGTGTTTTCATTGATATTCGAAAGCAAGCTAAGGCATCTTTTACACATTTCTGTATTGAGGAAATCGCAAAAATAAGGTGTCGCAAAAATGAAGTGTAATAGGGCTGGTCAGTATCCGGCGATATTGATCTTATCAGAGCTGCTCCAATAACAGAGGAAATTACATGTTATATCGTACAAAACTTGACATTTACGTGTGTGTCTTAATTACAGGTTTAAGGGAAGTTGTCGCCCTAAACGTTGCGAGTTTGACTTGTTAGCTAATGACGTGGGTTCTTGCCAAATCAATTGCAAGGTAAACGCAAAAAATCCGACCGATTGGTTTCGGGAAAAAAAATTAAATCGATAGCCACAATGGTAGTAACACCTGTAGAACAAAGATTTTATTAGCTGTAACCTTCGAGTTTTTCACGACCTTACAACAAACAGCGTTAATTGTACGCAACGACTAAAGCGTTACCTTTTCCATTTTTTGGAGTTGAAAATGAGGTTTTCTTTATTCTCACCATCTTTGACAGCTTTTACTTCAATAATCAAGTCATGATCGAGCTGATATGAAATTTAATTAGAGATACTTTGCGTTGTTATTATATTTTCTACATGTCTTAGTTTACGGTGACAATATTCTAGATGAAAATTTCATCATATCTGACTCATGTTGATAAATAAAACTTATTTAGTTTGAAAGAAAATGCTGTGGATCGGATGGTCTTCCCATTATTTTTTATATATCACTTTTTTCTGCTATAATAATAAAGTAGGAAATATTCAAAAAATCTACACCGAGTTTGGAATGGCCTTTTGCCTGGGTAAACAGAGCTATCATATAACCAAGACTTGTTCCTATAGAGAAAAAGGGACATGACTGTTTCATATGGGCAGGTGTAATAGTGACATGCATTTATCCGGCGGAATAGCTGTCCTGTAACTCAGAGATCCAAGTTCAGTTTGAGGCGGGCTCAGGCCTGAGACAGCTTGACTGTGTTGCATTCTGTTTATCGCGACTGTTTAGAGGTCCTGTTGGTTAAAAATTGAAGCTAACACGTGTTCATTAATTCAATTCCATATTCAACTGGCCGTTACTTGGTTTTCCGTTGCACGCGTTTACTATCAAGAAGATGAAATGAAAGAAAAAAGTCACTGATCAAAAAATAGCATGCAGCCATGAATGATCGTTCTAATATTTATGTCTCTCCTTAGCAAAGTGCCAAATTTTCAGTCTTTTATAAGATTCATCTCAACGTAGAAGTTTGTTTTTTCTTGATCCTGAACAATTTCATTATTTAAAATAAAACAGAAATTGCATTTAGAAAGTCAATGCACAAGCTCGAGACCTTCTCCTCTAAGAGATAGTTACTCTCGCTCGAAGGATTGAATTGTCCTCGATCATTTCTAACGACTGGCCAGGAGCAACTTGGTTCAAACCTCTTCCTTCTTTTAAGAGGCATACTGTCTAAAACAGCTTCTCTGAAGGCTGGAATTTGCCAAGAATAAAGAAAAGGATTGAGGCTTGAGTTTAGCCAGATGAAAACATACTGAAGATCTCGTAGCCAATGAATCGTAATGCAGCTGCAACTGTGGCATAAGTTCAAAGTGTAGATAATCACGCACGAAGGGGTATAACAGATGAGGTATGCAGCGAGTATGAGCACGAATGTCTTCGCTATGCGCTTTTCCTGTTCAAGAGCCCTTTTATTGGCGCTTTCAAAGTTCATGCCGGAATGAAGATGCGACGACACCTGAAACTGTGTACGAAGTTTGTGATACACGGAGATGTACGAGAAGAAAAATATAATTACGGTCGCAAAGATTGCCATATTGGCGAAAACAAAGGCATATTTAATGAATCCTATTTCGAAATACAGCACTGACGGCAGGGAAATGGATACAATCCAAACGCAAACCGATACAGCGAGCGCATGGCTTGGGCGTATTTTGTTCCTGTAGATAACTGGACGCGCCACAGCGATGTAACGATCGACAGCCATTGCTGTGAGACTGAGAGTTGATGCCGAGCAGCAGATGAAATACGATACGTGAGCCACTGCAAGAACTGGTAAGTCGGGATGATTTGTTAATGCCTCCAGCAGGTGAACATTGGTAGATATCGTCAGCGCGATAAGGCCAACAACGAGGTCGGCAAATGCCAAATTGACTACCAAGCAGTTAAACGCATTTCGCAGCAGTTTTCGTCGCTGCTTGTACACCGCCCAGCAGATGAGAAAGTTTGTGGGCACTATAAAGAAAAACAGGACGAAGGAAATGACCGTCGTAAGGAACGAAAGTGATATTGGAGGAGGCACATCGGAACAGTCTTTCTCGTAAAGGGACATGGCAATCAAATGAGCAGCGTTGTAGACGAGATATTTGTCGAATGAATATATACTACATCTAACTGTCGTCGCGGTTCAGGGCGGGCCGATGTGACTGTCGTCGCGGTTCTAGGCGGGCCGTAATATCATAACACCTAAGATAAATATCACACGACTATGAAAAAAATATGGACGAGCCAGAACAGGTGCTCTTGAGTAAACCCACAGGTATATTGTTGAAGATTGCAGAACAAAAATGAAAAATTAGCTCTTGATAAAAAAAAAAAACTTCAGAATTCAATTTAGAAGATGTGGAAAGTTTCATTTCTGCTTTGAAAAATAAAGAGGTAATCGAGAGTTATTGCAATCACTTCTCCTTGTGTCAATATTAAATAAATGTGTGGTATTTTTTTTTGAAGTCGTAAAATATCATCATGGCTACTGAGGTAGTGCTACAGGTCGCGAATACGAACCTGAAACCAGTGGGGGAGTTTTATATAATTTTCATATCAGTTATGAATTGCCCGTGGACTCTTTCTTCGGCTTCATAGCGCAAAGCAGATCTAAATACCAAACTGATCCTAAGGTAGAACATTGACAGACTCTTGACAACAGATGTCAAACATTACTGACACCTTGCTAAGAACTTTTGAAATCACTGTGTAAACGACAAATTCAAACGGATCAACTTGTTGGCAAAGCCGGTGACTGTAGAACAAAACTGGTCCATCAATGTCGACTTACAAAGCAAAAGATTCCAGTGAAACTCCACTGTTCACTTAAGAAAAATAATAACCTACGCTTAGATTCAGGAAACATCCAACGATGTCATTGTCCATAGTAATAATAAAATTATTGATTATAGTGATATTAGTCGTAAGAACTTTGTTTGGCGCTTTTTCAATGATCCTTGTTCTGCAGTGGTGTTTCCATATAGCTGGCACCATACATATGTATGTAATTTCTATTCCACGGGTCTATTTTCCCGATGAAAATACACTGCCCTCTACGACTCCTCGACACTGATTTGCATTTGCAATATCAAAACGAAAGCGGAAACGAAATTTTAAATGCACAGTTGCCTACTATAAAGAAATACTACTGAAGAATCGCCCGGGACAGCTGAGAAACTGCTCAGCAAAACAGTGAGATTCAAAAAGCACCAATCAAAGCCGCGAGAAAACAACCAATCACAGCGGCGCATCAAACATCGTAAGGTGACGTGAAGCCAGTCTTCATTGCCTGAAATAGAGTTGCACTATGCCGTCAAGTCTCGATCAACATCAGATTTGACTTCTTCGAGACAGACGATAAAATTAATTTTTATCACAAGACATTTTATAATATATTTTTATTTTCCCCGACTAATGATTTTTTATTTCGACCTTTCTTTTGCATTCGTAGCTCACAGGTGTTTCATGTTAAAAAAATAAAAAGCGAAAAAAAAAAACCCAAACCACGGGCTAGACTGATGCTGGCTGAAGAAAGAAAAGCTTCTCCTAAATTGTGAACCCGCGAAAACAAATTTTCTGATTTTCACAGCCAGAGACTAAAAAATATTATCGCAATCGGTAGGGTGGCTTTGATATGGATCCCCGCACTAAAGAAAGTTTAAAATTTGATTTGATCTCGAGGTGAGAATTTTAAAGCAATTTGAGTTAGTAGTGACTCATTGAATGAGTTTGAAGAGTACTTGTTTGAGTTTGAAGTTTGAAGAAGAGTTTGAAGGGTAAAGCAAGAATTATTTATCGCAAATGTACCTTCACTTCACGTATTCTCTTTCGCAGCGTGAAAACGCGCCATTAGTTGTTTCTCTAAGTAATAACTTCTTATGTTTTTATGTTTGAAAGAATCAGCCCGAAAAGTTGTTCGCTATTAATGACCCTCATATTCAGCTTTTCGTGTCTGAGTGAAACATTTCATTGATTTTTTCAAAAACGTTCTTCTCATCAAATTTGATTGCATTTTCGATATCTGACCCTCTTAGTAATTATTTGGTTTGTGTATTGATCCTTTCGCAGTTTCTTAATTATTTATGGCAAAAATTGTGCCCATAGGCTTTGGCCAGCACAATAAAGATATGTGCGAGATAGATATGAAAGTTAAATAATCATTAACTGTTAGTTCATTAGACACATAATGCAACTATCTTCCATAACGTCACATAGCAAAAATAAAAATTATTAATGGCTCTAAACAGTACAAATTCTGCATTACTAATAAAATACATGCATCTCTTCTTAACAGCTGTCTCGCTTTAAGTACCCTAACAATACAATCGACAGGATATATGTTCTGTTAATTGCAAGGCTTGAGTCATTGTCTTGCGAAACTTTCCTCCAAGTCGACGAGATTTGTTCCAGCTTGTTCGAAGCTCGCGAAAACAGTAGCGCTGAATATTACTGAAAAAGCTCAAAGCAAAGGCGGTCATGGCGCTTTTCGAGAAAGACTGTTCCAATGTACCTCCTCCAACATCACTATCGTTTTTGACGACGGTTATTTCAATTTTCTTGTTTTTCTTTACAGTGCCGCCGAACTTTCTGATCTGCTGGGCAGTTTGTAAAGAGAGACGAAAACTGCTACGAAATGCGTTCAACTGCTTGGTTTTCAATTTGGCATTTGCTGACCTCATTGTCGGACTCATCGTGCTGACAATTTCTGCGTATGTTCACCTGCTCGAGGCATTAACAACTCATCCCAATTTACCCGTTCTTCCCGTAGTTCACGTGGCGTATTTCGTCTGCTGCACGGCGTCAACTCTTTGCCTCACAGCAATGGCTGTCGATCGTTACATTGCCGTTGCGCATCCAGTCGTTCAGAGAAACAAAATAACCCCGAAACGAGCTGTGTTTGTTTCGACCTGCATTTGGTTTTTCTCCATTTTGTTACCTGTGTCGGTGTATTTTGAAGTTGGTTTCATCAAATACGCTTTTGTTTTCGCCAACACGATCATCGCTGCCACCGTGGTAATCCTGTTCTTTTCTTACGTCACAATTTACCGCAGACTTCGCGCACAGTTTCAGATGTCGTCGCAGCTTCAATCTGGAATGAATTCTGACACCGCAAACAGAAAGGCTCTCGAGCATGAAAGGCGCATAGCGAAGACATTCGTGCTGGTACTCGTTGCTTTCTTCATCTGTTACACCCCTTCTTGTGTAATTATTTACATTTTAAACTTCTGCCGAAGTTGTAGCTGCGTTACAATTCACTGGTTTCGAGACCTTCAGTACATTTCCATCTGGGTTAACTCAAGTCTCAATCCTTTTCTTTATTCCTGGCGAATTCCAAGCTTGAAAGAAGCTATTTTAGCCAGAATTCCTTTTAAAAGGGGAAGAATAGGAAATCAGGCGGCTAACGGGAAGGAACTGAGTAGGGTCAACGAACGAAATAATAGCGCCACGCCGGAAATTTACCAGCAACATTGATAAAGTTATAAAGAAAGGATTGACAAAAGACATAATAATCTTTGTGATGATTTGAGCCCCAGAGAATCCCAGTTGATTGATTGTGTATTCTTCCACCAGAACTACGTAAGAGGTGACGAAGCGGAAACCTAAACTCACGAAATGCCGAGTTCCCTGATTGAATATCCAAGAGCAAGAAACACTAACAATTCTAGCCTTGTATTCCTTATGTTACTATTAATTTATGCCGATTATTGAAGGATACTTTTAGAAACAGGAAATATTGCGGAACTCTCTTTTAAGTTCACTTTTGCATAATAGCAGATTCTACAAAGCAATATTATCAAAAGAAAATGATCTTACACAAGCTTTCGATTCTCACATCGATAAGTCTAAGCTACTCTTAATCAGGCTTAACTTTCAGCTATAAAAACGAATCCCAGACTTTGACACTCTCGAGATCCTTCGCAAAGGTTTTGCGAGTTGATTCAATCCACCATTCGAGAGCTCGTTGGCAATAAAGGTTATTTCAAGAGCCAGGTATTCATGACATGCACGTGAAAACTTTCCTGGATTTTGCTTGAATCGAATGCATCGTCTTTCGTTGAATAGAAACGACATGATAAAATTTGGGCTCGGCCGAGGAAATTCATCATCAGGATTGAGAGTCCGAAAAAGCATTTTAATGAAATATAAAAAGTAATTAACAAAAAAGTGTCCAAATGGCTTGAAACCACTTCATGAAAAAACTTCAGTTCCCGTTATGATGTTTGCTAGATATGCAGTTTCCGCAATACTGAATTTGATTTTGTTGTTGTTCGTATCGATTGCGGGGATCGGTTTATGAAATGAAACAGGTAAATTGCCGTTTTTTTATTCGAGTAAGTGTTCACCGTGTTTAATACATTTCGAAAATTTTACGATTGTTTGACAAGACTTCATGATTAACGTCTCAAAGATAAAGGCCTCGACGTCGATTATCTCTCAGTGACACTTGAAGCATTTACAAGAGGTTATTTAACGTTCGCTTTTTTCTCAAAATATCAAACGAAATAAAAAAAACGAATACAGCAAAAAAAGTGTTTCTCAATAGGAACGCAACGTCTGAGGTCGCAGGCTAAATGAGCTACAATGAAACAATCTCATCAGAACTGAAAGAGTTGTTGTCCACGAAATGAGGTTTAGCAGCTGGAACGTATTGTTTACCCTCTCATGCTGTGCAAATGTAGTGAGGCTAACTTATGTATATAACCAACTCAAAAACAAACAAATAAAAGGAGATTTTAAAATTAAACTTTAGAAAATGTAGTCCCCAGTGGTTGTATTTTGGTTTATGTTTAGCGAACGAGGCTTCGCACTTCACTTTCAGGCTAAACACTTCAATCGAGGGCAGACAAACGTTTTTCAACCGATTAAGCATAGTGGAACTTGAAACAGGAAGGAATGAAAAAAAAAACACAGATAAGGTTTAACGAATGATTCGATGCATTTTGAACACAGTTCAATGAAAAAAATTTCATTTCTTTTCATTTTAGTTTGTCTCAATTGAAGACAGAAAGAAAACAATCTGATAATCTGGACCTATTTCAGACTTAGAATGCTTTACCAAACGAAATGGAATATGACAAATCCATGGGAGCTGTTAAAAGCAAATTAGATTATCTTTATCTCTCTATCGATTTTTAGTGAAACACTTCACTTATAAGATAGTGTCTTAATTTTATCCATAAACAGTTAAAAGGTTCATTTTTATGTACTAATTACAAACTAGTAAAAGCTTTGTGAGCTTGATCGTAATTTTGTACCGCACGACTTTTGGAAAGACCAAAAGTGAAAAATATTGCGATTTTTTTATCAAAGTTACCGTGGTTAAAATCGTTTTCTATACATGACGGCTTTTTAATGTTAAAAAATCGGGCCAAAAATTCTTAAGTTCGCCGATCATTTGCAATCCGTTTTAATCTTAACCGTCGTCGTGCCTTTTAGCTTTATTTTCACCCGCCGGAATTTAAAAAAAAATGGTTATTTCAAATTCTAATTTCTATTCTTCGCAGGGTAATTTTGATAACGCTGTAAGTTACTTCAGGTCGTGTGGTCGTGTAAAGGTCTCCTCAAAATGCATTTAAATACATTTAAATGGGAAAATGCGATAAACTGAATCAACATTCAATTGACAATACCAGAGCATCACGGTGTTCTTAATCATACACTATTTTTTTTGATAAGAATGTCTTATTTTGGGGCTGAGGCTGAACGTTCTTATTTTTTCGCAATTTGAGCTTAAAAAAGTTCTTAACATGTTCTTAAGATGTGTGGTATAGTACTTCAATAAATCAATTCGGACGTGACTAGACTAAGTTCGACTACAATCTGAGTTGTTCCGGCTTGAGTGTATCGTGCAATAGTAAAACCGCATTGTTAATGTTAGAAAAGGCCCCAAGGTATTTGAGTTAATTGTCTTGTTAGACCACAGTTTTACTTTTCTTTTACCTTTATTTAAACTTCTCACCGAAAAAAGAGCAAAATTAAAAACGTTATTAACTGACTCTCAGCCTAGGAATGTTCTTAGTAGGTTCGTAAAATTTTGATTAATCTCAGCTGAAACATTCTTATAAAAAGGCTCTTATTAAAAAAAAAAGTGTGTATGCGATAAACTGTGTGACTCGAACCCTCTTAAGTCTGATGCAAATACAATACATCGCTTTAAATGTCTTCTACTGCAAATAAAACCGCTGGTCCTTGCAGTGACGACGTTAGGTCCAAGGACATGATTTTCGTACCCAGCAGATAGAGGTATTGAATGGGACTTGTTTTATAGAAAGATTACTCGGTCTGCTTTCTGGAGACGTTTTGCATGTGAAAATTCTTAAGGTGCAGCCTGCGCCGAAGGATCTCATCATCTCAGAAATGCCGCTATAGGCCTTTACGAAATGCCATATTTTTATGAATTTTAGGAGTTCATCAAAGAACCCCTTTGCTTGAGAATAATGTGCAAACCATTACATGCGCGGACCGTTTGAATAATTAATAGCAACAGGATATAGTGTCGTGTTTTTAGCCTATTTGTTTATGTTGCGATCCATTATCACTAAGAATAGACACGCTCTATGAGCCACCTGCAGAAATGAGCTATCAAGCACCTTTCAAATATGATTGAGTGAAGCTGCAGCTCTTCAATAAGACAGACTGACAAAAGTCAGAAAGAAAAATAGGGAAAAAATATTTTGAATTAACTTTTATTCTACACATAAGGCAACCACGTTTTTAGAGTAGGTCCAAATTTAACGTTTTCATACAATATGCTGCCATGTGCCTATTAAGGACAAAGAAAAACTCAGAATTTTTTCTTTGTTTAACGCTCGTGACAAGACGAAAACATCTTTTTCTATTTCTTTAACGAGCTCAAAACCTACAATCTTCCTTATTCTGTTTATAAACATGATGCTGTCGACATTGCTGATCTTAGCAGTGTGCAGGACGCGTGTCATATATGAACTTCGTAATGGGCCTTGCTCACCATAGAGTCTCTGTGGCTTGGTTTGTAGAGCGTCGGAGCGCGGACTCCGAAGGTCTGTGGTTCGATTCCTCGCGGGGACTCAGAATTTTTTCCTTGTCCCATGGTCGTGACAAGAAGAAAAACATCTTTCTCTAAAAACCTTTTAAAAATCTTTTAATTGCGAAGGAACATGAAAATTGTTTAAACCTGTAATGGTGTAACTGACACTCGGCAAAATACTACTTTAAGTTGTTTCTACGTGCGAAAAACAATTTTACCTTTTAACCGAGGCTAAAGAACTACCAAAGTTTTTAGTTTTGTTAAGTCCCAGCAACCTTATGTATTCCCCACAGAAAGACTTGTTCATGACACCATAAACAACAGGATTAATACACGAACTTGCAATTCCGCAAACTGTGTATATCACATAAAAACCACGAGGATGTGCCCATCCACCTCGAACCTGGTCCACCAAATCCGTTATTATGACCGGTGCCCGGCAAATCGCATATGCAAGTACTGTTACCAGTATCGTCTTGATTAACTTGATTTCTTGTGTTGTCATCCTAAGAGTATCGCTGTTTTGACTTTGCAGACTTTTTACACCCGGTGATTTCGGGCCCTCAAAGCTAAGTACACTTTCAAGTAAAAATTCTGAACAACAACGGAAGGAATAACAATATAAGCTATGCCGATTATCGCCAGAGGTGACGAATCCACAAAGCAGATGCATTTACCGGGATGAAAAGAGTATACACCGCCATTTGCCACATACGGAAGTTGCACTGTGGATGAAAACAACCACAAAGCAACTGTCATCGCTTTTGTTCGCTTCACGCTAAATACGAGATTCGGTGTCTCAGTGGGTAAGCGATGCGAAAATGACGGTCAAGCGCCATTAAGGCCATAGTTTGTAATGACATGCAGGCCAGAAACGCTAATGAATAGCCACTGACTTGGCAAAGATGAAATCCACCTAGCCATCTACCAGCGATATTTGAGGACAAAAACAACGGAATTTGCAACACTTCCGTGACAAGTTCAGAAATCGCTAACGACATAATCAATATACCAGCTGAGTTTCGGAGTCTGGGTGTTTTGTAAACAACGAGTAAAACCAGCACTTTACCATACAGTCCCACAGCAGCAAGAATTGACCCAGTTGACGTTTCTAATACAATTTCAGAAGAACTTCTTGAGCTAAGAAGGAGTTGAAGACGTCTTTTCCCGGACAAAGTATCATTCATTGTGAATGCACTGTTTGCCTATGTGGGACCAAACTGTTGCCGATAAGTCAGTAGTTGTCTTGACATCGTGCTGGCCTAGTTTCCGATTGCTCACGCGCTGAAAAGGAGAAGTTGTGATTATATCACCTAGTTTTGCATGATTCGTCTATGCATATAAGACAAAGCTATTGAGCGGAGCAGGAGCCCTGAAATTGCGTCCTAAGTAATAAAATAATGCCTTCAAAACGAAAATATCTCACAAAGATTACATCTGAGGGGATTTTAAACCTCCATACTGACAATTTGCAATTATCATACTGCTGAATTTTCTAGAGCAAATAATGTCTAAGAATATCCTAAATAGTAAATTTACCTTTCAGCAAATATGAAGACGAAAGTGGGCAAGCAATTAAAAGGGGAATTTATGATAAATAAAATTGTAAGAGACGAAAAGAAAAGAAATCGGCGAAGCTAGCCAAGTTTCCCACTGTAAAAAAAAAATTTATGGAATGCAGATTTATTGAAAATCCGTGGTTGACTGTCATAGATAAATTAGGAAACCATGATACTCTATCATCACCGATTGAAACTAACTATCAGTCACAAGAGCAGAATGAAAAAAAAATGTCTCACTTTAATTAAACTGTTAATAATCTATGACTTTAATTGAATTTCTTTCAAATAACTCAGTCGGCGTAACATTTCCTTCTTTGCTCTGGCCCCAAATTATGCCCTTGTTAATTTGCCTACTCAATACCGGCCATCAAGTTTTAATTAAAATCTACATTTTTCTCCATTTCAGTTTACATAGTTTATGATGGTTTGCCATGTAGAATTGAAAAGAATATTTGAAAAGCACCCGCAAAATCAAGAATTTCATTTCGCCTCACAGAGTGGACGAAGAAAAGCAGCAGGTTAAGATATATTCAATCGTTTGTTCGTTTCGCCTCCTCAATCAGTCGCGGAGTGGATGGAATTTAGGGCAGTTAGGGATAAGATACAATCTTATAAGTAGAGAGGCGCAAACCGAGAATCGATATAGAATATCATATCGAGTTTTCATGGGGGAAAACTGAACAGACCAGAAACTTTTTCGTTGATCCTAAAGTAATAGCACAACTGACCAAGAGGACGATCCTTAGAAGGTGTAACTGCTGACGGAAAGAATTCTTAACCCTTCCACGTTCCTTACTAAGTCGCCAGTTTCTTAGAAGCAAAACTGGAACTACAACTCTTGGATCAATGCCAGTATCTGAGCCGGAGTAACTGCGCACCTACACCTCCCTTATCCAAAATTAACCTTAACTCGTTATCAGTTGACTGTTGATGGGTCAAAGGAAGTAGGTGCGAAGTTGCTCAGATACTGGCACTGATCCACAACCATTGCTGGGTCTCTAAACCCTTTAACTCCTAGACCGAATTTGTAATTCTCCTTACTGTCAACCATACAATTCTTATAATGTTAGTTCAGAGAATTCAGTATTGGATCAACTAATTATCCCCAAATTGATAGTTTTCTTTATTCTCATAACCTGTCTGCTTGATATTGTACTGATATTGTAAGGGGAATTTCTTTCTTGGTCACTCATGGGAGTTAAAGGGTTAATTGGATATAAGACAGATAGAACTGAGGTAATTCACAGAGTTGAATGTCCCTAATAAAGCTTCTAAACTTAATCTCCTGGTCATGTACTGTTCTAAACTAGACAAAACAAATCGCATTGCAAGTCTCAATATTTAGCCAGATAGGACATTGTCTCTCAACTAAATTAGTGCGCTATATCTAGATATGCTCATCTGGAATGGAACTTATGGTAACCACTTTTACGGTCACGATTCTCATATTCTCATGGTGAATCACAATAACAGTGAACAAAAAACTGTATGAATCGACAAAATACTAAGAATTCACGTCACCACTCTCAAGAGAAAAGTAAGTTGTCACTCGCGCACCTCTCTATTATTGTTATCTTATCTAATAGCTTAGATACTACGTGCGCTCTGATTGGTTCAAACCTATCGTTTATTTTACCAATAAAATGATAGGTATTAAAAGCATTAAACCACAAGAACTCGAAAAACTTGTCAGTCTCTCACGCTCGGCTCCTGATTAACGAACGTTTCTCGTTTTCTCTCAACTGTACGCATGGTTTATTACACCGTTAAACCGACAGTAAGTGTGGTCTCTTTCTTAAAAATTTTCCTGATGGTGTTCCGAGCAAAGGAGTCCTTTGCTTACATACGATATCATATGCTGATCGACGTTGGGCAATTTATGAAGCCCCTTTTTAAAATATGTAATCGTAAGAAGCAAGGAAAACATATGTTCTGATTTCAAAATAAACTATAGGTGTCATGAATTAGTAAAACAGATCGACCAGGAGTAAGAGCATTTTTCAGTTCTTTCTGCGAGATCAGGTAGCTAGTTTCTAATATCAATGATAGAGACACAATAATCAACTTACTCATTTTCAATCATGGGATAATAATTGGGAAATTAGGCTGAAGGACCGTCACATGGTATTGACTGAGTGAATTAAGCTGAATCACGGATGATCTCCGCGGTACCTTTAATAATTTAGCCGAACGTGCCACATTCATTCATGTTAATCAAAATTATGAACCAATCCTATTCTGTTTCAGCATTTCCATTTCATTTTTTATTTGTTTGCTTCTACATTTAGAAACTTCGCCTGTTCTGGTTTTGAAATTACTTTTGAAGACCTTGAAATATTCATCTATATCTATAAAAAGAACTGCAGTCATTTACATAAAATCACTTAAATGCAATCATTCAACCTCTTACTTTTTCATCTGTCAGTTTAAGAAATCAAGATAAGGCATATTCTCCCATTAACCAAAAAATTCAATTAACCTACAACCCTCAGTGATCCGTCGAATAGATAATATTTTCTTGTTTCTGAAATTTCTCAAGGTGAAATCTTACAGTTCCAAACTTCTCTCGTTAATCTAACATCAACAAATTTTACGAAGACTTCCCACCGAAAACTTCCTATTTCAGAGGTTGGATTGGTCATATCTTAGCTTGTCGAAAGCATCGGCGTGTTGAAAGTATTACACAGCTTTTGTGATTCAGTTACTCAGGTTAGTATATTAAGTGTCTCTATAAGAGGTTCTCTATTAGATCGGCTAACAGAAACGTAAGAGACCTTATTGCACTCCTCAGAGATCACTTAAAAAGGTGTCTGTTGGCAAACCAATCACCATCAGAATAAGGCAAGGTACATGAACTCTCCCTCCTTAAAGATAGAGCAGCAAAGCTGTGTGTATTGTGTTCGCTGTAAAGTAACAGGGAATGGGAAAAAAGATCAATTTGATCTCAAAATAGATTTAGGGTTGAAGGCTCAAACGGAGGTAAATGGATTATCCAGGTTTACAAAATAAACAAGTTCCGTTTTATTTTTTATCTCCACTGAGGTAGCATGGAAATGTAATACTTGTAGCAGAGAGAGAGAGAGATGTAACTCAGTTCCCTAGGTGATTATAAGTGATGTTGTAATTACCTTAGAGCAAAATTTGATAGCAGTAGGCAAATTTTGGAGATAATTACTAATTATGGACCAGAACTGCAGAAATCTGATATTAAATATTTCTAGTAGGAGTGCCCTGGCGCATGTTAAGACCGAAGATCTCAGCCATTAACCGCTTCACAAAGAGGAAAATTTCGATACGGAGAGGTCCGTGAGCCAGCACAGACAACTGGGATCTAAAGAAATCGAATAGACTCATGACTATTATGCGATCTTTAGCGCTCGTTGGAATTCCACTCCGAAAAACGTTTCTTTGAAACTCTGTGCCGGGAATTCGTCATTTATTACGACCACGCACTTTTCGCATAACACCTTATTCTTTTTCAGCCAACCACGACTAAGTCACGTTTCAGAGGCTTTTAAAAGAGTTTTAGATTCTCTTACATATGTTGGGTTATCTATAAACCTAAACTGGTGTTATTAGCTTCGCCAAGTGTAATTAACATGTCATTGAGTTCCGGAGGAGATAGAAAAGATCTGAGAATAACTTGCCTTTTGCCTGTTTTATCTCCAAATAGCGTGATTTGACATAACGTGCTTGCTAAACTGTGGCACTCAGGAGCAGATAAATACAATAGCCACATATTTTATTTTAATCAGTCTCGAGAAGGACAGACGCCTTGGTGAGTAGCAGCACTTAACTTAAATTATACATAGAACTGTAGTCAAAATGCATCTTTTTCTCGATGAAAACTCACATACTGAGTAACTTTTCCTTTTCATTGAATTTGGGGTGTAGCTCTGAGTGCCAAGATCAAGGCATCATAATTCGTTGCCTGGGATTTGACTGTTCTGAAGTAGGCTAAAAACCAAAGTGTTTCAGGGACGATTTTCATAATATGTTGTTTATATTTCAGCCATTTACTTTGCATTTGTATTGCAATCGACGTCCATCGTCGCTAAATGGTGAACTTTTGAGCGTTTTTTTTTCTTGCTTAGTGAGGTCAAATCTTAAA